TGATGTCTCATACATCTTCTGTATTCTCTTCTTCTCAAAGTCTCGCATCCTGGCTTTGTGACGATACTCCTCTCTCATTCTGACTGCCTCAGGGTCCTCTGTGGGAGGCTCAAGGTCAAGGGTGAAGCAGGACAGCTGGGGGAACTCCACCTAGAATGAAACGGGTTTGGAACTTAGGTGCTGTTTCAATGTTATGGAAACTACATCCAAATTTCGTGGCTGAAGTCTGGCTGAAACACTGACATATCGACAGAAATGACTACAGCCAATACCCACTGGCTTCCATTGGCTTAAGTGTTATTCTTAGCCCTAGCCATAACTTTTAGACACATTCTTGGATTTGATGTGCTATTTCTGGACAATTCCATTTGCAGTATAATCTTAGAAAACTTCTTGGAAGTCACTGAACTTGCTTTGCAAATAATGGCAAAATCGTGGCCCAAGGTTTTTTGGGGGGGTGGGGCAACATGAAATTCAATTACCACCCCAATTGTTAATTTGCATGTTTATAAGGGCAATGGTAAGAATATTTGCATGAGTTGAAAGATGAAATGGTAATGAAACACTGGTAATGTGATGACTGAAAGAACGTAAAGGCCACAATTTTCACAGGGGTTGTCTGATGGGCGTGGCTATGCATGCACAAGGGAAGGGCAAGATAACGAGAATGAATCATTGGGCAATTAGGTTTGTAGCTGATGAGTACATATCTGGTATTTTACCTTTCCGAGTTGTACTGTAGGGTCAGGTTCTTGTTCTTTCAAGCTGGGTGTCATTCTAGGACCATTCTTGCCTGCCTTATCAGCCTGGAAAAAATAATAAAACTGTTATCTAATAATGTTAGGAAAAAGCGACTCAAAAGTTTTGCCGGTTATCAACACATAAGCTACTATGTTGTGTCAGCTGGGGTAATAGAGTAATTCCGTGACCAGAACTAGAGGCCATTACTGCGATGGCACAACACTCGTGGACAGGTGGTATGCACCTGTTACATGCCTCTTTGACCAATAGGGTGTTGTGATTTGCCAAATGCACAGATGCATCAACCTGTAGAATGTGCGTATGAGTGCGGTGCCACTGTAGTTATGGCGTCTAATTGCATTAGTCTATACAACCTGAGTTTCTTTGTCATCTAGACAATCTTTTCCACCTGTCAGATAGACACCTCAAAGCAGTCAGAGAAATGCTGGGAAGAATGGTTCATCTTAATAGCATCTAGATAGAACTAAAACCATGAAGTCTATCTTGGGATAGTCTCTGACCAGGATGACCTTTTCACTCCACCTCTGACATAGCATTTGATGCTAACGATTGTTACTAACAGGAAAACACAAATAAAGTGACCTTTTTTAATTGCTGGGTCACTGCCCAGCTCTGGCTCCCACCGGTTTTAGTGCCAGGGCGTGAGGGCTCACTATCTTCATAAATCTGAGACAAGCCTCTAGTGAATGCATCCATGGGTCTGTCCTCCTGGTTGAGAGAGGTCAACGATGACGTTTGACTGTTACATAATGATGGCTCTGTCACTAAAGGTAAAACAGATTACAGCTTACATGAAAATGGATGTCAGGACAACAAGAAAGATACATCTTAGTGATATTTCATTCATAAGCTCACAGTTGGTATCATCTGCCATAAATATTTTTTAAAAGACGTGCACATCTCCTAGTGATATGTTGTGTGTGCCAATTGTAAGAAAAGGTTGAGCAAAAAAGATCAATCTAAATATTTATTCCAGTCATCATTGTAATTTTCCTTAGTATTGTAAGCATTATCATCTTTAAAAACCATCGTCATGGCATCGGTGACCATGGCAAACATCATCATCATCTTGTAGTCATACCTGTGTGGATGTCTTCCTGAGAGCCAACATGAGTCCCATATCCAACAGTCGCCGGTGCCTCCCCACCTCCAAACATCAATGCAAAGTTTTCGGGCTTCTCAATGTCACTCCAGAATTTCTCCAAGTCTTCAATGGTCCTCAACTTTCCTTCCTTCATCAGTTTCTCCTCCAGGCAAATGACCTTCAGTCACAAGAACCAATCAATTTATTAGAATCCTCTGATTTGCACTCAACACTGTACCTACTTGTAAATCCATTCTTAAAATTTTGACTGCAAAAGGGACAACACTCTTCAGTGAATTATTTATCTCAGTCAAAAAAATCACCTTCTGTTCCAAAACAATGTAATACGATTAAAAATGTTGAATTTGGAGCGTTCACTGAATTTCCCCCCTGATTCCAGTGTTAAAATATCATCAAATGTCTCCCAGAATTACACCCACTCATTTTCATACTTTAAAAAGGGCAAAAACTTTAAAATATGTTTGATTGTGACTCAATATGCTACTCTTTGGCATAATAATGCAATTTCTACGACAGAAATCTCTCTCTTGAGATGTACAGACCTCCGAAAATTGGCTATCAAGAATTTGGAACCCTTCTCCCCAAAATTACGAATTTTTCATGAAAAATCAGAATATTCTCCATATTACCATGAACACGTAAAAATAAATGCTACATTGTACAGGAGTCCACTCCATATCCGTGATGATGTACAGTCCCACACATACTCACCAATTCCATACAATTCCAGAAGAGTTTATGTCATCTGAAATGGCCAGTCCGCACTAATTTTCCCTCTCCTGAATGCGTTGATTCATCGAGAAGTTCAGCGCGAATTCAGCGCAAAATTTAGTGAAAGATTCACCGCATGGTGCTTGCACACTTGACATAATTGTGGTCGGTTTCACAGCAGTGCTTAGTCTTGGATCCAAACATTCTTTGCTGCGGTTCCTAGCGAAACCAGCTGCCGCATGATGCATACAATGTTAATCACAACATGGCTTGTCCATAGAGGGCATTTTCGTCCAAGAACGATTTCAGTTTCACGTCCATGTATCATGTCCATCTCACAGCTGGTACGCGTTAAAAGAGAGCACTGCCATGGACATGGCTCACGCAACGTGCACTGCACTGACAGTTTGGGTAGGTTGGACAAGTCGTATTACAGTACATGCACAAGATTACATCGTCAGTTTCCAGTAATACATAGGCGTGTCAAAATTGCAGTTTGGCAGAAATTTTAGAAGCGGAAACAAAGTGAAAAAGGGGAAATTTTCTGCCGAAATGGGGAGGACTGGATGAACAAAAATCTATGATGCGGGGACTTTGTCTTTACCTGGTGGAGTTTTGTCCGAGGCAGGTTTTCCAGGAAGGTGTTGTCATGATTCAAGGAAGACTTCTCAAATCGTTTCTTCACTTTGTGCGACTCCCTCTTCTGTAAGAAACCAAATGCAAAGATCCATTTTCCTTCATCCAATGGGATTAACACCTCAAGTCCAAACTGAAGGACACAACATGATGAGAACAGGGGTCTTTTATACCAAAACCTGGTCAGTGTAAGTCCTAACTTACAAGGAGAAATAAAACCCACCCGTACATGCTCTAAGTCTTGCCGACTGTCCTGGGTAATTCCAAACATTTTGGACTCTTGTAACTGGTACCTCGAGTCCCAAACCAACAGGAAAATATGCTTGTGCAAGAAACCAAATCCACTGTTCCTTAGCATGGTGCAATAAAAATATGTCTGAAGAACATAGCTGGCATTCATTCCCGATTTCTTCACTTTGCAATCCCAAGACTACTTCAGTGTTTACAGCCTGATCGTTGAAACTGTACTACCGTGAGATGACACCTGACTTTCTTACCCCAAAAAGCTGCTGGAGACAGGTTTTTTTACCCGTAAATTTTTCAACCTTGCAATTGTGCTTTGACCCAACCAAGCATGACCCCTTAATACATTAACCACGGAAGTGCACACGCCCTCCGTGGAACAACTAAGGAAAATTTGGTGTGTTTCCAAATCATTCAGCGTCAAGTAGTTAAAACCTGTCTAATGAACTATTGAAGACATCAATTTTGTCATGTCCATTTTATCAAGGGGGGAGTTAAAAGTTGGCCCAATATTAAGTTTTTTCACAATGAAAGCCAAGTCCTTAGCCTTACTTCTTTCAGTTCTTTCATGAGAATCTTTCGGTTCAGCTGGTCTGTCCGTCTCTGAATCTCTCTCCTTTGGTCTTCTACTCGGTCATTCAACTTGCTCATGTAGACTGAGTAGTAGTGGTTCCGAAGCTTTGTCAGATCATCCAAAACACCCATATGGTGCTGAATAACAAAATGAAAAATACCAATGTAAGTATACATTCCACATCATAAGGATTTTATTCGGTCAAACTGTTAGCTAACTTATGAAATGTGCAGAGAAAGAAATTAAATGTGAGATTAGAAGCCTTGGAAAGCCTTAGAAAAAAATCTATGAAACATCAAAGATATGTAGATGTATCGAGCCTGGAATTACATGGCGATTCCAGGGGTCATGACCTTTGCAGTAATGACTCGGTCACGCTGCCATCTTGAAAAAATCCCTTCATCAAAATGCACTTCCTCAAAAAGAATCAAACTGCTAACCCATACATGTACTAAAACCTCTTCAATGTGAACATGCGATCATATAGAAATTATGAAAGTTCAAGTGACAAAGTACACGTAATTTCCCTCGACTGAAAATGTATCTCCAATGGAAAATGTATCTCCAATGGAAAATGTATCTCCAATGGAAAATGTATCTCCTTGGAATCAAGCAACAGCAGCAAAACTATTTACCAAGACCTGAAAATCAAAATACTAACAAAAACTGTAACAAAAACTCTCATAGTTAACAGTTGATGAATGTTCACAACAAGAATGCAGGAACGAAACAAGATGAGCAGATGAATACGTGACCCTCCACCAATGTGATGGTAAGTCCACTCAAACCTCTCTCAGACATTTATAACAGGAACCTCGTACATGTATTATCAGGAATGAAAACAAAGACAAACAAATGACTGGGACCAGTCAATGTCCTTTTTAAACAGAATGTTGTGTTAACAGTGCTATTATTGATGAAATCTTGACATTTATACATGTACATGACCACACCCCACGAAGTGTGCCTAAGAATATTTGATTTGAATACATTCAGCTTACAATCTGATGTAGTTCAGTTTGATATCCTGACAAATACAATGTACTGGGAATAATGCAGATGAAAACTTGGAAAGCTTTACCTTAACATCACACTCATGAGCTTTGCTCACATGTAAAAAAGACCAACTTACAACTCTTACAAAATGCTAGTGATGAGCAATTTCCTTGAGAGTAATTGACTCTTTCCACTCCAAGAAGACAACTTGCTGCCTAAAAAAAGCTAGAACTCCAAAAAAGTAGCATCCCTACGAAAACGTATGGCAAATTGGTGGCACACTGTGCAGTAGAGTGCTAGAATTGTTTGACTGTGCAGTGAAGTGCTAGAATTGTTTGACTGTGCAGTGGAGTGCTAGAATTGTTTGACTGTGCAGTGGAGTGCTAGAATTGTTTGACTGTGCAGTGGAGTGCTAGAATTGTTTGACTGTGCAGTGGAGTGCTAGAATTGTTTGACTGTGCGGTGAAGTGCTAGAATTGTTTGACTGTGCAGTGGAGTTACTTGACACTATGACAGTACTCTACAACTTAGCCAAATATAAGAGTACATTTAAAAAAGGACAAGGAATAAGTTAAGTTGCAACAAATGAACAAATACAAACTTAAACACAACCTCAGTTACACATGCATGTATCCAACACCTGTTTTACAATCATCCATCTTACCAACATCAAGGTTTTCAAGCGCTGATATACATCCTTGTTAGTCTCTCCAGCAAGTATGCACTGTCGGTTTTTTATAGTACCCAGCATCCAAATTAAGAAGCATGCAAAGATTATTCAGACAAAATGGACAATGATTAGGCTTAGGAAAATACCCCATGATATGCAGAGAGTGTTAATCAACGCATGCAAAAATGACACAAAAGCAAAACTTTTTAAAGCTATATCACATTTAGTATAACTGATTCAGTAATTTAGTAATTTTAGATTCAGTAATTTATGGCAATGATTGGTGTTCTTAACATCATAGGCTTACATCTCACTTCCAGCATGCAAATTAACAAATTTAGGATTTTCAAGATAAGGAAAATCAGGATCAGAGCTCACAGGTGGGATGCGGTGGGTGGAGGTGGGGAAGAGATGGGGGAAGATCAGGCTAAAGGTGGGGGAACGGGTTAGGGAAGGGGTGGGGAAGGGGTGGGATGTGGCCAGGGTATTCAGAGCAGAGGAGGGCAACAGTGTCAAGAATCCTTTATCTACACAGACACTGATCCCTAGACGAGAAAATAAAGTAAAATATCAGGATGTATCATATTTAAGCACACAATGGAGCTGGCAGTGTACAGTATGTATTGTAAAAAACCTAACAACGTATTGTTGAGCAAGTGAACTTGAACACAGCTACTTGAAATCAAGACTAACACATATGACAGCTGAAATCAAGACTAGCAGGTATGAAAGATGAATGGTAGAGGACGATTAAGCCATGCACTGACTATACAACAATTACCTCTCGAAGTTCTCGCAGTCGCCTAGTTTCCTTGTCTTCTGTTTCATATGGATCCAAACTCGCTGACATCTCTCGTCGTTTTCTGGATTTCTTCCTCTTGGTCTTTTCCTGTTTTTCCAGCTGTACAAAAAAATTCCTCATGTCAAGAATGCTTCCGCGGTTCCAGGAAATAAGATCCAATTCAGCTTTTTAAATAAATCAGAGTACATCATGAATAGAACCTTTTAAAAATAGGTTCAACCAGTCTTCAGTCTTTCTCCAAGGTTTTTCTCTATAGTGCTGTAATATGACATTACTAAGCTAACTATTTCTTGCCTCAAATTGGACCCGTTGTTCCTCAGTTGATACAGGAACCCCAGGGTTGTATAGGAACTTTGTCCTTGTTATGTTGTAAGATGACCCTGAGCTTACCCTCCTTCCATTTCTATCAACTGGTGTGGTTTCAGACAGAAACTTCACATTTGATTCAGTCTTCTTTTGCTGCAATTACACCAATGGAACGCAAAAATATAAACATATAGAAAGTAAATAAGAATTACTTGTAAACATCTAAGCCATTACTCCAGATGTGAGGAAAAAAAGCTGAATACAGAGGGCCTGTCATGCACGGGGCCTTCATGCATTTTTGTCATCTGGTCATTGTCTGACAAAGACCATGATGACTGAATGGCTGATTTCTTTCAAATTAGTTTTAATTTCATACACTAGCCTACTTCCAGAACTGTAAGGTTTATGCAAACCATAGATGGCAAAGTAAAAAAATCATATCAGACATGGCACTACTCCGGTTTGCATGAAATTTCTATGCCGTTACACCAATTTGCCCCTAAGTATTTTCGTGATCGTGATGATAAGAAAAGTGGAGTTGGATGCAACATTTTTTCTCATTTTAGTTGAAAAGATGCTTCTAAAAATCACACCACCACGACGTTTTAATGACCGCGCCGAACTGTGGTGAGTTACCATGGTCCATGACGGTCACATGCACACTTGACCATGTTGACATGCTGCTTGACCATGTTAACTTTCCATGCTTGCTCAGCCTGTACTGTGGGACCAAGGAAGGGGTGAGGTAAGCTAGAAAGCAAAGCTTTGAATCCTCAAAAGTCAAACTGAATGCTACTAACTGCGAAACCGATGTGCTTTTTGATGTACAACCAGAAACTGCTATTTTCTAACCATAGGGCAAGGACTGACTTACGTTCACACGACGCACTTCGTTGCTGTCGGCTGCCATTTTGAATGTTTGTAGCAACTGAAGCAAAGTGGAAGCTGTTTTATGTCCCAATTTTACCTCTGTGCCCGTACTGCATACAACAGTCGTATACTCTTAATTGATTGACGGTTCAAAGGTGAAACTTTTGGGACACGTTCGCTTGAACAGCTGGTACCCTTCATTCTGCAACCTGAATCAAACGTTGTGGTAAAGGAAACAGGGAACCAGTGATGATGCAGTAAACATGGCGAGCTCGGAGTGGGAAGAAGTGAAGCGGCTCGCAGCAGATTTTCAACGAGTTCAGCTGACTAGCTCTGTACAAAAGTAAGATAATGGCTGGATGCTGCTAGTCAGGAATATGCCACCAGATTTCGCGAATTTAAAAATCACAAGATACCTGTATCCATTAAAAAGCAGTGTTTGACCATGTCACACAGCATGCACAGTCCTAGTGTTGACGGTTGATGAGGGTAGCTGTATACAACATGATATATGCAATCTCACGTATGAAGCTGTTACGCCCCAACTATAGCATGAGTCCCAACTATAGTTGGGCCCGTCAAAACTGCACTACAGTGCTTCAGTTGGGCCGGCCCAACTACAGCAGGTCCTGTGTGCATGATGTGCCCAGCATGTGCCAAAGTTGTTTACAAATGTCATGTCATCGGTGATACTGATAGGGCTAGATGAAGTGCCACATTTTAGATGAATTGTGTCAAGTGTGAGACACATTGACTTGGATAACGTTGAGACATTTCCCACAGACATTGGTCAACAATAGTTGGGCCAGCCCAACTGCAGCACTACAGGTGGGACTGTCCCATAGTTGGGACTTATGCTATAGTTTGGGTGTAACAAAGCCAAACCACGGTTCACACCATGCATAATGCATGACATCTAGATGCTCAACCAACCATAAAAACTTCACGTGTGAAATTGGGCTCCTATAACATTCAGGCTTTATTTTCCTCAAAGAAAAACCTCCCTGCCAAAGGGAGTATACAAAGACAGGTGCAGATTCCGCGGGGGTACACACTAAAAGAAAAAGATGGAATAAAAATAGCAAAAGTAATAACAATACAAAAGATGACATCCTACATGTCCTGCTGGTACGACAGGTATAGAGGTAGTGCATCAGTAACAATGTAATGCATTACCTATGTGTTTATCTGTCCACAACTATTTAGGCTTGATCCTTCCATTGCCCCACCATGACCACCTGGAAGATTTCCTAGATTTGCCCCCGAAAGGCCAGGCATGCCAGAGGGATACTGATGCTGAAAAGGAGAAAGTCTTTTTATTCACAGTGCAGAGAACCAAACTTAGCATGTGCACGTCTTCATTTGCACTATAATTTCTGATAATACATGTATTTACTGATGCTGTTGTATTCAATTCTATACAGGTTATCTGAACGAAACTGTATTGAGATCGTCAATAAGTTGATCGAGCTGAAACTGATTGAGGTGATTTACACATTGGATGGAAAGGAGTATCTTACCCCTGCTCAACTTAGCAAAGAAATCTTAGATGAATTGATATACCATGGAGGTAATTCAACAAACCTACATCTGTTCTACTCTGCTGCTGTTGGCAGAATTTTGTCTTTTGAAACTGTCAGTTTCCCTAAATCTATCTAGCGCATTAGGTGGCAATATCCTTCATGTATTAAAATTCACTTGCCCAACTCTGGTGGACGGAATAGGTCAACTTTTATAAATTGTCTCCTTTCTGTTATATTACTGTTATTCAAGGAATATTTCTTCTGATGACATTTGTTTTATTTCTACACAGGACGGATCAACCTGGTGGATTTACAACAGGTAATATTCTGTAATTTCATTTTTTGCCTTTACAGTTGGATAATGAAGTCTCCAACTCAAGACTTGCATCATGGGAATGATCATCCACTCAGTAAATTTTGTGTTCAATTCAAATCAGAGTGTAATGTGTAGTCAGTGTTGATATTTTGTGGTCAATGTTGATATTTTGTGGTCAATGTACAACCATCTTATTGCAGATTCTTGGTGTTGACTTCTCTCACATTGAAGCCAAAGCTAACGAGCTCGTTAAGCATGATCGATCACTGCACATGGTACTTGGCCAGCTGGTTACAAGGTATCTTAATGTTTCTGTTATTGCTGTTTCTGTTTCATTCGGCAACCATAATCAGAACCCATTACTGCAGTTGTACAATGCTCGTGGACAGGGACTACGCACTGCATGCAGCTCTGTGACCAATACAGTGCTGTGATTTGCAAACGTGCATTTCAGTTATAAGAATTTATGTGTGAGATACAGTAACACCACAGTTATGACATCTATCAAGTAGTTTCTACCAAAAAGAATTGGCGTGCTGATTGACTTTGTCTAAGAATGCTTTGAGCAGGATTTTTCCTTGAATACGGAGAATTCTGGCATCAAAACTTCCCTTAGGTCATATGAGTCGCCTTCTAGGAATTTAGTAATTACTCAACAGATGTTGTGACAATTCCCATTATCTTGTCCTATTATTCACTCCTCCCATCATTTATTCCCCGCCCCTCTAGAGACTACACGGACCAACTGTCAGAGGACATCAATGACCAGCTACAAGAAGCTGGTCAGGTGACCGTTGCTGAGTTGACTAAGTCACATGACCTACCTGCAAGCTTCCTTTCAGAGGCAAGAAGCTTTGGGTTTTGTTTTGTTTTTGAGGGCAAGATGTTGTTTCTGATCTGTTTTGGTTTAGTTGTTGCTGTGATCATAACAAAGTAGTTGAGTGTCTTACAAGTTTGTCTCAAATTTTGTACACCCTGTAGATTTCTCCTCCTGTCACATTTATTTGACCAGAAACTTGTTCCCAGTGGTTCAACTGTTACTTTGAAAGCATCTCTAGGTCAACAGTGGTATGGTCATGCACTGTTCAGAACCAGCCTTTTGCTGTAGGGGTCCTGTACTGTACAGTATGATGATGGCATTTGATACTAATTCATAGCATGTTCACTGATGATAATTAGACTCATAAAGTCGGCTGTTGAAGACAAGCCAAAGAAAAGAGAAACATTACTTATACCACTTGCATGCAGGGCCCCCAAGTCATGAGCAGGGAACCAGGGAACTATGAGCTATAGATAAGCCTTTCGGTTCCAACCAATTCTGACTCTAACCTTGTAGATGATTGAAGCTCGTCTAGGCACTGTAATACAAGGACAGATGGATATCTACGATCCTGGAGTCATCTTCACGAAAGCATTCATTGAGAGGCATACAGCACAGATACGGGGTGCTTTCAGTGCTGTCACAAGGTATTAATGGTCACATTCCTTCCAGTTAAACATTTTTTGTCAGCTTCGTACACATCTTTGCTGTTTGTAATATTGAAAGCGTGATGACTTATACAGTGTTGTTAGACTTGAAGATCTTCGACATACGCAAGAATATTTTAAAGTTTACATGTAAGTACCCTCAAATGCTCATAAAACCACACTTGTCATAGTGGGCTAATTTCTGGGGTTAGTCTGATGCAGATCATCAGATTAGAGTGATTAGCAGGTTTGTCGTATTCAGGGATTTAATCTTTCTGGTTCACATTGTTGTGCAGACCAACACCAGTCATCACCATTCTCAACCAATTCAAGTTTCCGGAGAAGCTATTTTTTGGTAAGTCATTATTGGATGGAAATGCGTTGTTCAGGTGAAAATGCCAGTGACAGCAGAGAGAGTATATCACCAACCATTGATTGAGAAGAGTTTATTTAGGACCTCAATTGTGCCATGGAGAGAGTGTGCAAGCAACATTTTGTCTGTCATTTGTGAATACCTATGGGAACTAAGTCATCCTCTGGAATTCATTCAGGTTGCCTTCAAGATTTAGTGGACAAGGGACGTCTGAATGGGTCCATTGTGGGAGGTCGCCAAGACAAAGCTGTGTACGTTCCTGACCTCTATGCCAAGACACAGAATGCTTGGGTGGATTCATTCCATGCACAGAACGGATACCTTGGTGAGTCGCACGGCAGAAAGGTGCCACTGAGCTAAAAATGAAGCACATTGGAGATCATTCAATAACAGCAATATGTTGTTGCGAGGTTGGTCTAATCAGTGGAGCCGTATGCCAACCGGCATGCACTTAACATGCTCACACTTAAAGCTATCTCTTTTTGAAACACCAATTTGGCTTGCTGCATTGATGTATGTAGACCGAAGAGCGCCCTCTTGCATTCTGCAGTGTTCCAGAGAGGTTTTTAACATTGTATTTATTGCATCAAGTTTTTATTAACTTTACAGAATGCAACATGCACTTTGTGACAAGTTTAAGCAAAATTTAGTAACTTTATTCCACATTTTTTTAAAAAATATTTGTGGCATATTGATAAAAAAAGATAAGGATTTAGATCTTTGGAGACAATATACGGACCCTTTAAATGACTCCGGCTAACAATCTGACCTTTATTTGTAGAATACGATGCTCTTGCTAGACTTGGCATCACAGACGCCAAACTTTACATCAAGAGACGCTTTAAATCGGAGAGTCTTTTGTTCTTGTCATCATGCTGTGTGGGGAGTCAGCTTCGTGACAGGGTGGACGCCAGCATTGATGAGGCTTTGTCTACAGGAACGTGGATTGACATTGTGGTAAGGGGCCAGCGGTCAATTTCACCAAACTTGGTGTAAATTGGCACCGTATGGAAGCGTTGTACCACAGATTTAAGCTGTAGCTGTGTAATATTCTCACGTGCCACTTTATGAAACGTTGCTTTGCTGCACAATGTTTGAATTTTATTGATCAATTACATTCTTAGCTTTTGCAACATTACAGCAGTCATTAAACAGTCATTCATAAATACCTCAGACAGTCTCCCTATTCAACATCATGCGAATTGACCTTGTACTAACATTTGATAATGCCCGCTGAGAAGTGATAATGCCCGCTGCGTAAATAATGCACTAGCACCTGGATACCAGACAGGTTAATTGATTGTAATTGGTCAACAGTCTGTGTGCACGTGGCTTGTCACGCTTGTGCCAAGTCCGTATAAGGAGATTCTTTTAGACAACTATTAAAAAAATGGATGGGAATGATCAGAATAATGGAAGTAAAATTTTACAACAAAATCATTGGAAATCCGTCATATATTGACTTCTCTTGACTCTCTGACTAAAAAGGTTATTCATGAAAGGGAATAAAATGTGCTTGGTTGGTCTTAAACTAACATCTAAGACTGGCTCAAGAGACTGAACTCTGATTATGCCCTCAGCTGCAACTCCGGCATTAGTCCATTCTCCTGAGCCAGTCTTAGACACACCTTTAAGACCGGTCCAGCACATGTTTATTCCCTCAGTGAACCATCATTGAATTAGCTCCAGCCTCCATTTGGAAAATGCTCTAACCTTGTCTTTGTCGGGACAGGGCAGAATATTTCACAATTCTCTCAACCAATCAAGCTTTTCATTACCTGCAGACAAAAAAAATTGTATGTTTCTTATAGAAGCCATTTCAAGAACATCTGGGGACTTAAAAGTTTATGGTGAACTAGCCTTGGACAGATGCTTTGAATTATGATATTAAGTATTTAACTTGTTATTGGTGTAATGAAGTAAATGATAATTTTTGTTGAGCTGTGTGTCTTTTTCCCATCAGCCTTTGCTTCCATCTTCCTTTACCATGGATGATATCCACCAGCTACTGCAGCAATGCATGACGGGAAGGGGGAAATCAGGAGCAAGGATTCTGTGTAAGACGATTGTCTGTAGTGAGAAGTTTCTGTCAGAATGTCGGGGCTTGTTTGATGAGCTCATGTCTGAAAAAGCCGAGAAGGTGAGATTTAAGGAGTGAATGTGTCAAAAATATATTGGGAACCGACAAATCGCAAATTTCATTTTTTCTCAGCTACCAAGCCAAATAGTGTAAACTTGTCTTGCAAGCTCGCATATGAAAACACATTTAATGGTTCAACTTGGCACCTTATTTCTCACAGGATGCTAAAAGTGCTCCACAGTTGTTGTTACAAGTTGACAAGAAAGCTGTTGCAGCTGTCACCAGAGGAACTGAAGGCAAAAAAGACAAGAAAGAGGAGAGAAGAAACAAAGCAGCAAGTAGGCGGAGTCTTCTCCTCATCTCATGTTTTATTCATGACTTTTTTCTTACAATAATTTGAGACTCCTGCTTTCACATAATGACTGGAGATTGTTTTTCTTGCTTTGTTCCAGGTAATCTCTTCGAAACATCAAAGGTTTTTGTCCAACTTTGGAAGGATCTTTTTTAAGTTGCAAATTAATGAGGCTGTTCTATTAAGAACCAACAGACCAACCTTTTGAACATGGTTAGGCATAGTTTGTTGATTTAGAGCTGTCTGCGGCCTCAGCCGAGATTGCCACAATGATTGATAGGCTGTTTGTGCTATAATTACAGCTGGAGGAGGAAGCAGTGGCAATAAAGGAGGTGGACAAGGCATCTCGAGAGAAATTAAGACCAAGAAAGTGAAGAAGGGACGAGGGAGGGACATTGATGAAAAAGAAGAGGAAGACATCTCAGGTAAGACAAGCTTTTAATTGGTTCATCCAGATCTCAGGTTGACACACACTTAATTGGCTAGTCCAAGTTAAGGCTATCATTCAAAATCTTTTGGAGGTTGTTTAATTTGGTACTTGACAAATCCAATTTTAACTGTTAAACAGGATAGACTCAGGGGAATGATGTAATAAATCAAATAACAGCAGGGAAGCATTAAAGGCAGCACTTATGTCACACAATATTTTAACTGGTGACCTGTTCATGCTGAGTGAAGAAGTTGAAATTGAAGCCAATCTTGCTATTGCAACTATTGGAGAACTCTCAACCAAACTGTTCTTTATGGTAATATGTTTTGATTCCCACATTCTTGTTTGCAATGATTCATTTCTGTGTTTTTGGCCACCAGCGTCCCGTGGGTACCAGTCAGATGAGCTTCCATTCATGTCCATTGAGGAGATTGAGGAAGTCCTTAGTAAGTCATTTACTGATTGCCCAGAGGAACTTCACTCAGAGTTGGCTGAAGACCTTTACAGGTACCATGAGATATCTAGTAGAGTAATTATTCCTTTCAGAAACAAAATTCAGACGAGCTATCAGTTAATTATCACAGATTTGGTAAACATTTTCAATAGTATCGCTGTTCATTTCATGGATGTTCATGTAAGAAATTTTGTTGCAAACTAACTCAAAAGTCATTTCACAGTTGTCATTCTCATTTGTTTCAGTGAAGTTTCTGGTACTTCCTAAAGCCTTGATCTCAAGTTAGTAAGAAAGAAGAGTAACTTTGTTCGTTTGTCACTTCCAATATTTTCACCCTGAGTTCCAAATTTTACTTTGCTTCCTCAGACCTCTTCACAGGGCCTACCAGGATGTTGCCAAGTCTGTCTTTCTCTCAGCAGCTGGTTCTTCAGACAGCTCCAAGCGACGCAAGAACCGAGGTGAGGTACAAGACAAGATCAACGGACTTGTCAACAACGTCAGACTGTTTGAGAAAGGAGTCAGACAGTTTCTAGGTAGGGGTGAGTTGGTGTATCGCTTGCTTCTTGTTTTTTAGTTCGCCAAAGTTCTGTTTATGCTTTTCAAGTTTCTGTTGCTTATGCAGCTGGTAAGCGTGTTTAAAAACTTAACAAAAGTGGCACATTTTCCATTTAAATGCTACATGAAAGCATGTAACTTCTTGTTTTTTGTTTCACCAAACCATCAAAGATTCATTTTGTTTTAGATTTCTTTAGATTGTGAACATTCTTTGAACCACATGCATGCTTCTGTTTTGCATTGTCAAGCTGTCTTACATGAAGTTACCTGGGCATGTATGTTTTTGTCTTTTCTTTCAGTATTTATAAAACAACTTTATGCATGAAACATTAGTTTATTGATTTGAAAGAATGCAGATGCTACCAAAAGTCTTTAATAATGCTAGAACTATGGGAAATGGAATGCTAACACAAATGTACAATGATTAAATATACCAATTAGCCAACTCTGCAATTTGCCGTGAAATTACTTGCTGTGCAATGTATGTAGGGAGGGAAGATATCAATCAAATAGATTGTCATTGTAAATGTTATTTCATGCTCAATAGTGACTCAAATTCGCTTCTCAAATCCAAAGTTTTTCCTGTCTTAAATTTAGTGGTTTGTTTCAATGAGCCTTAATTGTCAACTTGTCCATCAATGGATGGCCTTTTTGAAATTAGAATATCTTATTTTTGTCATTTTATTCCCTCTCCTCGTTAGCACCGAACAAAGAAATGACAACAGACCCTCCAATTTACAAAGTTGGGAAGCTATTTAAGGCTGAGAATTTACTTTTATATAATCTTTCATACATCAGACATGGATGATTTTTATAAATTGTTTGTGGTTTCTTCACAGATGAAGATTTAGAGAACCAGTTGTCCAAATACTTAATAAGAACACTGTGCACGGACATCACCAATCTGCTTCTCAGTGCTGTAACAAGCGAGAATTTAATGTCAGAAGTCAACCCGACAACTCTCAATGCTGAGGTGAGTATAATGCATCATCCAAATCTGAACTGACAGAGTGTGGAATTTTTCATGTTTTCCATTGTATACAAATACACAGTTTTACACATAATCCGTACCAGATGGGAACTGTTTACATCAGAATCAATTTTTTTTTTGCACGTACATATACTTTAATTTAACCAACTTGTTGTTTTATTAAAAATCTGCTGTTGATTTTTAGACTCGGGCCGGGATACTGGTGAAACTGAAAGATGAATTACGACAACCGCTCACTAAGCTGCACAACAGTTTGAATGGCAAGGTATGTACAAAGAAGACAGCCAACCACATTTGACTTACAAGCAAAACAGCTTAAAGAAAATAACACATCCATGTCTTATTTATGAAACAGGCAACATTTTCTGTAGTCCCCAGAGCACATAGGGTAATATTTTCAGGCAGTTTGTGAACAAACTTTAAGCTTAAACATTGAAAGTATACTGCATTTCAAACAACAGACCCTGCTGAATTATTATAGCCTGTTACAAGCTAACGAGCCCTGAAGGAAGTGTTTTATTTGTGTGGTGTCTTGCAGGACCTTGGGGAATTCCTTTCAACTTTAGAGCGGGCATGTGAATCCAATAAATGTGACATCATGCTCAAGAAACTGGACAAGAAGAAAGAAAGGTGATTCTTATTAAACTACTTTGAAAACTTTCCCTGTAGCTATTTTATGATATTAATTTCATGGTATTTCCCCCCCCCTCCATTTTTATCAATCTAACAGACAGCTAGTTTTCAACCATCGCCAAGCCTTGCGGGAACAACTTCAGAATGAAACAGACCCAGCCATGGCATTACACCTAGCCGTCGTACTTGCATTCCAGAATAGTACACAGTGTATGCTACATGCACCGGGCAAGTGAGTATTGTCCAGACTAGTTTACATTCTAGGCAGTGAATCTACCTAATATGGGGGGGGGCTGTCAAAGTAGAGCTTGATTGTCAGTTGATGAAATATTAATTGATATACTGTTCCAGACTTCACACGTTTAGTGCTTGCTTTATCAGTGCACATAGGCTTCTGGGAAATATCATACATATTTGTGTTATCTTTTTCAGGCTCGTTCCTCAACTCATCTCGTTCCTGAACACTCATCTGACATCCACCAACTACTCACTGCTGCTGCGATACCAAGGCCTGGTTCAGAAACACCTGGGTCTGAGCAGAGACCGAGACCAGCAGGAAGGGGGTAAGAGTCCCACAGCTGACAGCAACAAAGAGGATGAGGCTGTCTCAGAAATCGCAACACAGCTAGAACATCTCCTGTCTGATGTGAAAGAGATCGCACTGACAAAGAAAAGCACAAGTACTGCTGCTGAAACATAGGCTTTATCGAAATCTGTTGTCTAGAGCTAGGTCTAGATCTTCACTCCATTGTGACACGGTCATAGCCTCTCAACTTTCAACTTGAACATTTTTGTTGACTCAGGAGTTTTAATTACTTTAAAAACTCATGTATTCTTGAAGAGGATGCTGCTTATAAACAGCATTTTGCTAACAGAGCCCTTATAATGGCAAGAATACCTAAAACAGCAAGCATAACAAAAGGTGTGCTAATCTCAGAACAGACTGTACCCGCAATATTGACAAGACAAAAGACTTTTCTGTTCACAAACAGGTTCAAGCTTATCAAGCCTGGGAAGGACATGTATGCTTAACATAAATTAACTGTGCTTAGGCACAGCTTTACTGGAAAACATTTTGTAGCTTCAGGAAATAAACACAAGATCTATGAAATGATTGGCATTGAAAATGTTTGAATTTCTCGGTTTTAAGTATTTCATTGTTACAAGACATAATGACGTAAGTCTTATGTTGATGAACAAGAAAAGGAAGGCCTTTATAACTGGTCAGTGATGAATGTAAAGCTTTCTTTGGAATGTGAAAAAATGAAATGTTTTTCCTCGGCCTCGTCTCTTTAAAATGAAGTGATAGCGTGGTTTAATTGCTGACTTTGCAGTACAAGTTACATTTCATTTCTCCATACATTTTGGGAATGGGATTGAAATCAATTTAATATTTCATTTTTTTCTTCATTTTCAAAATCAGGCTGTTAAAGAATGCGCTCATTTTTCGAATTAAATAAATTCAGTAAAATATTGAACTAATGAATGTCTTGTAGGCCTACAATATTGTTTTTGTGCCCATGAAACTTCAAAAGTTGTGAAAAATAGTGCCTGTCCTGGGCAGACGATGCATTATAAAGACTAGTCTCTAATTCCTTGACAGTAGGACTGATGACATCTTTAATTAATTTATGCTTGTTTATTTTTGTGTGTCATTTCGGAAGGGGAATACAAGAAGTGTTATTTGAATTCACATTGTCAGTGTTTCTCAAACAGTAAAGCCGATTTTAAGGTAAGGGTTGATAACCCAATATTTATTGGATGATTACAAAAGGGCTGTATGTTCATAAGACTGAATTGAAATATTCCTTCCTATATGAAAATGCGCTTAAAATAAATCTCCATAAAAAGGACAGAAAGAAAAGACTAAAGAATAGTGCTAAAAGAAATGCATGTTCAAAGAAGTATGCCCATTTTTATAGATTTCACACGAAACGAATTTACCATATCTACTTAACAGGTGAAAAAGACTTGCAGAATCGAGCCGCTAGCCCTTTAATTGTTTTCATGTTGGCACTGTGTAAGGAAGTTCCCTTTAATTGTGCGTACATAGCAACCAACTTCATGATCGGGTCGCCGCCTCGTACTTGTATAATACGTGTTTCACAATATAGTCTCCGAGACGTACATCAGTCTAACGTCAAAATGGCGACTTCCAAGCAACTGCAACTTCGAGTGGTGGGTTTGTTGCCCGATTCGAGCTTCCACCAGGCCAAAGCATGTGCTCAGGTTTGTTTGCAATTATAAATTATTTGCTACCCAAGCATTAGAATAGTTTTTCAGTCCAATAGGAAATGTATAATCAATATCTGTTGCTTGTTCGGCCAGACCTACAATTTACTTAGCGAGGTCGGCCGGCCGGCGCGGCGGGGTTGGCCACACGCTGGGCGCAGGCCGCGCCGGCAGTTAATGCATTGGAACGAAACTGGTTCTTGAAGTGTAGCCTAAGTGTGGGATAGCTGTACTGAGTGGAGCATTAGTGTGGGAATCGGTAACAGTTCAAAATTAAAAAAGAGGAATACTAACACTCCACTCAAAGAGCTAGGTGTGCATGGTGTGGGAGCTGCTCAGTGCATAAACAGTGAAATTTCAGATCTAGGCCTATTGTTGGAAAGGAGTTTAGTTTTTGTTCAGATTTTCCCCAAAGACCTCACCACTATTTTTGCCCCATTGATTTTCTAGTGTGAAATGTGGAATAGCCACCAACCGACCAACCATTCATAGAGAAGAATCAAGACTCTGTGACGTCATTATGACCGCGAGAATGGATGCTAAGCTTAGCCTCTTTGCCATTCTAATCAGAGGCATACCATTCATATTCAGTTCACTGCTGATGAATATCAGGCCAATTAAACTGAAATGTGTTTAGTCCTGATCTATAGTCAGCCTGGAAGCTTGAGAAATTCAATTTTTATGAAATGTTGCATTTTATGTAAGGGCCTAGGCCTACTGAAGTCATTTTCTTGTTGTTTTCAGGCCCCATCTGAAATATGCTAACTGAGTCATTAAGGATGTCTTATCTCAAAGATTGTCTGCATTTCAACATAAAAAACTGCCTGGCCTAGCCTACTTCCATATTTTGGGGGATTGTATATGTGGGGACCTTCCCTAGTTTTCATTTTAATCTTGTGAAACATTGACAGCTCAGCCCTCCAAAAAAGGAAAGGCAACACTCTATTGTGCTGACCCCATTTTTTTGAAAATTTCAAATAATAAATTGTGAGAAAATGTGATTTTGTCACTAACAAACCAGCCATGCAAATTCGAATCCACCATGTGTCATGTGTTTTAAACACTCACAGTTTCCCTGTAATTTCCCTCAAAACTCAAAACCCTATCCCCCTTTCACAATATGAACTCTACAGTTATTGAGCATGAGGTCACAGTCATCTGCTAAGGTGAATCCAAAAGTTAAAATGTAGGTCTTTCTTAACGGGATCCCCGGTAAACAGTCCCAAGGGTTTTAATACATTCCTGTTTAGTGCTAGAAGAAGCTTTTTTAATGAGGTGTTCAATAAATCAACAGGATCTGTATCAAAGCAACCCTGAGAAGTTTGCCACACCAGACATCCTAGGTTTGCTAGAGTTTGAATGGGAGCTGTACCTGCGTGAAGAGAGGAAGAAAATCCGAGGGGAGACTTGGGCATTTGAGGACAAGGCCATCACGTACCTGGACGGAGATCTTATAGGTAATACTGCTGGAGAAAATTCCTGAAATCTACAGTTGACTGAAGTCTGAGACTTCAATTTGACTAAAATGATTCCGTAGACAAGTCTGAATTATTGCTAGTTTGTTATAATTCATTTTCTTGTTCTTGTTTTGTTGAAGGTGGACCAACAGATTTAGAGAATTGGGCAACAGAACACTGGAAGTACCATCCTTGCTGGCCTCAAGCGCTTTTTGAAGCCCATGCTGAGGTGGCATATAAAGACTACCTCAGTGGCACAGGGGTGAGACGAATCAGGCCACTTTGCCATATCATGCTCAGGTTTTAATTTAGAAAGCCATTTGAGATGTTGACACTTATGCAGCTTTGAATTGTGAAAAGCAAGATATTCTACAAAATAGAGAATGGGTCAAGTTCTCTTCAGTTTCTGAAAGTGTAAGGCATGCATTCAGATGTAAACTTTGGTTGTTTGTCCCCAGCATACCTTTGTGTACCTGGATATTTCCATCAATGATGAACCTAAGCAGAGGTTACTTTTTGAGGTAAGAACAATTATTTTTCAAGCTCCGGTTGCTTTCCTGACTGTTCTAATCTGTGCGAAAGAATGGGATTTAAGGATGAGTGGATTCTTTTGATTCAAACAGTTGTACACGGATAAATGCCCCAGGACCTGCGAAAACTTCAAGGCGCTTTGCACCGGTGAGAAGGGCCACAAGACCGACGAATCGCTCATGAAATATCACTTCAAAGACAGTCTGATACACAGAATAGTGCCCAATGGCTGGCTACAGGGCGGAGGTAAGACTGATATACGTAGGCAGAGTAAAAGGTTTTCATCTGTATAGTCAGGCAGAATGACCAGTGAATAGAGTGAGGCCACAAGCACTACAAGTCTATGAATTCAGGAATTTCAAGTTTTACTTCTTTTTATCATCACAGATATCCTGCTTGGTAAAGGAGATGGTGGAGAATCCATCTATGGACAGTTCTTTGAAGGTACATTCAAATAAATATTGACCTAACAAGAGGGTCTCCCTGAATTGGTTCTTCAGTACCACGTTGCTTTGTGATGTCCACAGTAAAAGAACAAAGGAAGAGATATCCTTTGGCACCAGAAAGGCAGCATTGGAGCTGTATGCATCCCAAAGGAGATGAGATGGTCCAGGGAAGTTTTCATTGCCCTGATGAGCAGTGGTAATAAAGTTCAAAATACCATCCCAATCACCAGTATTGCTGGCTTTAGTACACTGTGTCAGCAGTTTACAATATTCTTTCTATCAACAGATGAGAATTATTCCGTCAAACACGCCTCAAGAGGGATGCTGGGTATGGCTAACCAGGGCAGACATACTAATGGCTCTCAGTTCTACGTTACATTCCAGCCGGCACCCTGGATGGACACCAAATATGTGGCCTTTGGGTAGGTGGGGGACCAGTCATGGAGGGAGGGGGGCGTGGGGCCAGAGATGTAAGAAGAGGGTTAATAAGGAACCTCAAAATACTTGGGATTATCTTAACAGCAAGTGTCTCGGGAACCATTATTTCAACCTTGGTCTGTGATCAATAAATCTATTACACATGCCTGTTGAGAACTTTTTCATTTTGAGATTCTTTTTCATACTTCTGTAAACAAAAGGAACCTGAACTGGGTCTATTTTCACATGTTCAATATTGCACGTCTTTGGATGAAACCCAATTGATATTATCCTGAAGCACAATGTCTTCTTTTTTACTTCGCCTTATTTAAAGACTTCCTGAATTTCCTTCCTTTTTTGACAGGAAATTGATTGAAGGCACGGAACTATTGGACACACTGGAGGAACAAGAGACATACAACGAACGACCAAAGAAAGAATGTAAGATAGTGGACTGTGGAGTGTATGAACCCTGAACTTTGACCCCCATGCAGCCTACCCAGGCAGAAACACCACATTGACCCTTTGAGCAAGAGGACTTCCTCAGTCAACTAACATGCAGGCAATAAATCACAGACACATTCTTTTATATGTATGCTTTACTTGGGGACACTGACTGCTGAGCACAATTGCTTGCCTCTATGGAACTATGGAATGCATAGCATTACGCTCAGTTCTTTTGATTACATAATTATAGACACATTATTGGATAAATGCATGTATGTACCATGTTGATAAGTTGGAAGAACCCCTTAAAGAACAATGTGGTAAAGAAAAGCTATCAGAACACTCAATTCTAAAAGTATGGAAGTTTTGTTTCAACCACTTAGCGAGCCTGTTTATTTCATATCTCATGTTGTGGCTTGAAGGCCTATTCTCAAATCCCACTTTAGCTGTAAGCTTTTATATGTCACTATACATAATGTATATACTGTTCCGACAAGATTTTTCGGAGCCATTAAAAATCCTTGTTATTGGTCATCATTTGTAAATGTCGATTGCTTGACTTTGAAATGTAAAGTGTACAGGGAAACAACTTTGGCGTTGAAATACTGTCTGGGGTTCACAGCCGTTTCCTGAGAAATTTTGCATTATGAGTTTCTGTTTTGTGTAAGAATATTGATCTCAAACAGTTCGAGTTACAACACATTGCAGTGTCCACACCACCAGGGTAAGGTACCAGCTGTTAAAGAGAAGTAGGGTCTAGTGGTTAGGACTCGTGACGAGTTGGTCAGAGGTTCAAATCCAGTGATAAGGCATAAGCCACTTTACCTCAACTTGTCCATTTTATTGGCAGGGGACTAATTGATAAACTTCAGTCACACTGCTGTTGGGAAGGGGACTGGTCGCAATAAAATTATCAACCAAATACTTCAACAGCTGCACGTTTCCTTTTTGTGTCCAAATTTCTTGAATTCATGTACATGTACTTGGTAGCAGGTACCAAGTAATGAAGAAAAAATGTAATCATTCCAAGAATTAACAGAAACACTACTAACTTTCCTTCATTATCTCTACCATGAAGTAAATGCTCATTTATGTCTTGCCCATAAATTTGTCAGCTATTATATTGTCACCCGTAGTTTAAGCAGCAAATGTGCATGTTAGACAAATCTGGCATGACACCCCAGAGTGCAGTTTTTAACACCCCATGTTTAGCTTGTAAGTATTCCAGCCTAGAGCCAGGCTAGCAAAGGCTATTATTGGCAGGTGGCAACTGCTCTGCAATAAGTGAATTTGACAGATGGTGTGAATTCATTTATTTCCAGTTTAATTATGTGTATACTAACATACTATATGGATGCTTTATCAACGTGGAATAAATTTAATCCAAAAGAAATGAAATTGTACTCTCACATAACGATACTACATGAATGATGAGGAGAGTAAAGGATTTGTACAAAAATTCAGCCTGTCGAGAAAATAAAACACCAAATTGTATATTTTGATTTCAAACTGAAACTGCACTCATTATTTGATTATACATGTACAGGTATGTCCAAATGAAGGAAACAATACTCAAGGTATACAGATTAATCAATCAAGTCTTATCGTAACACTTCAATGATTTATTGGAACGTACATGATCCAACCTCAAGACAGGGAAAGGCAATAAAACTGTTTATACATATACTTTGTTTTTGGCAGGTCAGTTTCGATGCAGAAAATTTCCAAGATAGACTTATTCATGAGATGATAGACTTATTTATGAGAAGTACTATGTGTCATTTGGAGCAGTAAAGCACGAGCGTGGACATGTGTTACTGGTGTCATGCATATTCCTAATGGTTTATGACACTAATTCAACCTGGTTTATTTAGCTCTTACAAAATAAGAAATGTGTTGTTTTCATTGAAGACATATGTTGACAAAGGTTAAAGTGGCAATATGAAAGTTGTCCGTTGAGGCAGACTGCGACTTTATGAAAACGATTTAAAACAAAGCCAAACTAGAGGCGTAAGACTTCAAGGAATCCAGATTACAATGTTTGATACAGTGAAATGTGAGTTTACTTTAGCTGAAAGAAAACCATAGAAGCATGTAATGTGACAAGAGTAAAGTAAAGTCATATTTAGTGTGTAAGGGACACTGCATTGTTCATACAAATACTTCACAAAATAGAATAGTTCATCAGTTTGTGTTAATGTCAATAATCATCACGTTTTAATACTTTTGTATAGTACACCAATGCAATGCTGATGACATGTGTAAGTCCATTATATGGTGCTCCGTGTTATTGGAAAAATGACCCAAAGATCAATAGGAGTAAAAACTTTCATGAACATATTTGTTTGTCAAGATTCCAAATCATGTTTGAATGGGAAAAATGTGGCTAGGTGGTTCAAGCACATGTACACTGATAATCCACAGTAAGAAAGCAACTAGAACGGCAAATGTAAACATGTCTTTATACAGCATCTGTGACCTGCTCCTACAAAAACAAGATACCTGCCAGTCAACCTTCAGGTTCAAATTTCCACAAAGTACAGTACAACCCTACTAGAACCATGCCCAATTCCACTGATATTTCAGTGATTTGCAATATATCTACCAAAAGTTCTGTTTATTGGTAAACAGTGACAGAAATATTTCGAATGACGAACTGAGGTTACTTTTTATCCTTATTTTCAGGGAGCAGGTCACATTTTCTCCATTGATTTTTGAGAGTATTCGTTAACATTCCATTTCCAAAGAGCTGCAAGTGTGTGTTCCGTAGGCAGAGCTAACTATCGATAGGGAGGGGAGGGTTAAGTGAGTGGAGCCACAGGATAATCTGTGAATGGGTTATGGAGGATGATCAGAGGATGGATGAAGGCGATAATAAATGGGCAGAACCATGGATGGGGGTATGAGAAGATTCATAGGAGTGGCAGATGCTGGATTCTCACCTGGAGTTTAGTGGGAGGGGCTACAGTATACAATAGGCGGAGCTTGAGAGGATACTTAACTCCAAAACTCCACCCATCTATCATAGTGCTTATAAAAGCTACATGCATAATGAAACCATGATAACCTAATGCCCTCAAGTGAAACTGCTACCTCATTGGTACACGTCAAGCCTGATAATTTCCATGTCATTTTTAGTCCCCAGTGCTTTAAATCTTCAAACACCATCTGCAAGCAACTGGCATCTTAGAATATAATTAAACTACAAAGTCATTTTCATAAACATACTTGTTGGATTAAATTCTACTAAAATTGAGGAAAAATTAATGAACTGATTAATCAACACAAATCTGTACATGTAAGACTAATCCCACTTGATACATTTGAAAAAGCAAGAAAACTTTACGTTAAACAAAAGCTACATGTATACCTGTGTATGTAAATACAAGTGTGCATTTGTAAAAATATTTTTAATACTTGGGCTTAGATTGAGGGACACAAGTCTGACACTTAGCTACACCAATGAGAGTTTCTTTCATGAACAAATTTTCTTTTCTGATTTACCTTTTCACACTCATGTTCTTGACGAAAGGACCAAAACTGATAACAAATATTTATGATAACCTTATCTATTCTACCTGAATGTGTGCACCTTTGCAGTCTCATTACATTTTTAGCACAGTTTACAAAAAACAGCATTGATTACTTTGGAGTAAAATAGCAATCAGGAGAATTGTACAAGTGGTTTTTTCACATTGATTTGGCAAAGCGCACATGTACATGCATGAAGTAGTCATTCCTATCACAGAAAGCTAAGTGGAAATGCAGTCTGCCATTTCATAATATCAATAAATCAGGGATTTTCAAATATTAGTAATTTAATAGGTGGCATTACAATAAGTGCGACTGAATATCAGCTTCTAAAGGCAAAATATGTGGTTATGCTGCATGAAAATTATCCTATGTTACAAAATCTGTTACATTGTTGTCATGCCCGATGAAAATGTGTTTATTAAACACCTCAGAATAGTGAGAATACACAAAAGCACGGAAATCAACTCAAAATTATTCTATTTTAAATTTTTTTATTTGATCATTCCTTTAAAGATGTTTTTCGGAAGCCTGCATTCAAGCAACCACTAAAAGAAAGTGTTTTGAATCCAATCTTACCACTATCAATCAGAAGGATGAAAATTTACAATCCAGGTTTGCCTCCGATAGTTGAAAATATTCTTATCAATCAAAAAGGTCTTGGTTTGATTTTCATCACCAGAAAGCATGACACCCATATCTACACGCAGTTGACATCCAGACTCCAAAATACTTCTAGAAACACAACCACTTATGGCGGGAAAGAACTGTTGAAGATTTCTACACATTTCAATGCAGACAAACCCCATACAAAATGATTGAATTAAAAGTGTTAAAAAATAAAGGAACAAAACAATTTTTTTGTGTGGATGTGAGGATTCTCCAATATTTCCTGCCAAGTATTCCATACTTTGTTTGAACACATGATGCGTGCTTCATAACCTCCAACACGATTTAAAGTCTTCCCATATCTCTCAGGGGTTTGTCTAGCTACTGACCCTATACGCTGTCTCACAATCAAACAAAGCAGAAATACATGCAGAGATGTACACACTGAAACAAGCCATCCACTGGTTTATCTGTACTTGGTATAAAAGAGAAACTCAGGATACAACCTGCGTGACACGTTCCGTCAAACTGTACAGGCAGGAGTTGAAGATGTCAGCCGGTGCTGTGAGATTGGATACTTGTCTTTTTATGTGTTGCGAATTTTGCCTGGCACGTAGTTCTTGTCTATGGTTGGTTCCTGCAGGAACATGTGTAGACAGCGCTCGTTCTGTGCGAGTGGGTGGCCAGAGATCCTACAAAAAAATTTATCAATCAAGTTTATTGAGAATGATTTACTGAAATCAGCATCTCAGGAATGTTTGAAGAATAATTGGTTGTTACCTCCCCAGGCCAGAACCAGTTGATAAGCTCTGAGACAACTCAAACAATTTTATATAAACCCCAAGTCCTGAAGCATTTTGACTCCCTAAATTCTCCCAAATCCTTCACTGTGCAGCAAATTAATTACACTTGTTATTCTACTAAGAATCAAGTCCCCATTAAAGTTACACTGTTTCCGACAATAATTTCATCATTTATTTTTTGGATGACTGCAAATGATAGACTACGTGTACGTGTATTTGTTACATTTTAAATTCTTGTTTTATCAGAACCTGAGACCAAAACTAAACCGACATATAATCAACAAGCAGTAAAAGTAGATAACAGGGAATGCTGACACACTTACTTGTTCACAAATGATTCAAGGCCCTGGCGTCGTTCCTCGATGAACTCGTCATCAAAAATGCCATCGTCACTTCTGAATGGCAGCTGTCTCTTCAGGGCTTTGCCAGGTAAGGGAGGGACCACAATCTATGACAATTCACATTGTCAGAGCAATTAAAGACACTTGACTAAAGTAGGCTTCCAACCAGCAGAGTCCAGAATGTGACAGTGTCTGAATTATTTGCCTATGGCTGAAAATTACACGTGCACCTAGGGAAGCCGCAAGCCACTTCTCAGTCATAGACTCAAGTGTTTTTCCAGCCATAGCCAATTAAACAAGACCCAGCCTACTCATACTCGTATTCCACTGATCTACCAACTCAACTAAAACCATGTCCAAATTACCATAGCCAAGTTATTCGGACCCAACCTATCTTGTCCTGTTGCAATAACTGAAGACAAACCTTGCTGTCTCTTTCCAGTTCATTCCTAAGCCACTCAAAATCACTGTATCTTCGTCTGACGGAAGATTCTTTCATCTTGAAAACTGGGAGGTTGGTCTGAGGAAGAAAAAAATATTTTTTGAATAATATGTTTGTTGCAAAAAGTTGTCCTTTTGGCCTGACACATGCCATGTCCTTTCAAATTTCAACAAGTAGGCCTAGTACTGTAATGGATGGAGCTAGAACGAGTGCATAAAATCTCACAATCACATGCATAATAACTAAAGGGCAACATTGTCCCAACCACACTTGGGCCAGTCCCAACTACGGCCCAAGTATAGTTGGGATCATGGAATGAGGCCACAGTTGGGGCGCAACATCGACACGCCTTTTGAGGGGAAGTGTCCGGGAAATGGGCAATCACCAATACATTACGGCACACGGAAAGTAAAAGCACCACCCACCCTCATCCGAACTTCATAGTCGGTATATCTCTTCTTGGCGATACCATGTGTCTCTGGGTTCATCACATCAATCTCTAGGAAGTTCGCTGGGGCTGCGTAAGCATCATCCAGGGTCTGTTTTTGGGCACCAAGCCGCCTAGTGTCAGCATTCGCAGCTGCAAGTTTTTCGTTTTCGTCCGCCATGCTGGGTTGGTGTAAAGAAAGTGCGTTGACCTAGTTGTAACAGCCTCCTCCTCGTTATCTTCAATGGCCAAATATCTGTCAAAAATTTTTGCAGAAATAAATTTTGTACTGCTAGTTACTTAACTTTTATTTTTAATCAAGTTTTAAAACAGTTATTCAAATTTTTAAAAGGCAACTTGTCCACAATTTAAAGTTGAAACTCTGGAATAAATGACCTTTTGACCTCATATATCAAATGGCGTGTGGTAGTGTTTGCCGGTGTGGTTGGTTGGTGGTTCGTGGTTGCTCATCGCATTGAAAGTTTCTTTCGTTTTTATCTAACCCTTTTGTCCACGAAATGCCTCACATGCCATAAAACTTAATTGGAGGAAAATGATGACGATTGCGCCTTTTAGCCACATGGTCGTTGGTATGTGAATCTTTGCGCTGGGCAGTGCATGCAATCCCCGTCTGACGTTGACACACGGTTGAGCGGGATTGCACTGAAGTCCTAATAATATAATCATGGAGCCACATGGTCGTTGGTATGTGAATCTTTGCGCTGGGCAGTGCATGCAATCCCCGTCTGACGTTGACACACGGTTGAGCGGGATTGCACTGAAGTCCTAATAATATAATCATGGAGAAATAAAACACATTTCTCCATGATATAATCCAGTCATGCCCGCACCCGTCATGCTGTCTTTGCTATAGGCTACCGACAATATGATATTTCTAACTGAAGTTTTATTGGTTTATCTCGTAAATAAATGAAAACCGAAACACGAAATGTAAAAATTGGAATTTATGGAAAGAGTTTCATATGGGCTCATAACAGTACAAGTAACACTTGATGCCCCATGCACAAACCTGTGAGACTTGTCTGAAAAAAAAGTCAGTGTTTTTTAATTTGGAATTTTCTTAGCTAAGTTACTTTTGACATGCTTCATTTGTTTTAGGACATGGTATCATATTCTGACAGTTGTTATAAAATTGAAGAAACATTTAGTGTTGTCCGTATGTGGAACTCTTTCTGCAATGTATTTCAGTGTTCTTTATTACCAAATCCCGTGCCCAAATTCAATTTTGTTTAGCATCTTTTTCTTCGCTGAGTGATACTGATAGTGATTTTAATTAATATGAACTCTCTCGGTCTGACTACACCAGTCAATAATAGTGTGTCAAACTGTTTCACCCCCATTATGGCATCTGTCCCAACCACAGTTAGATTTGTTCCAAATGTGATTGGGGCAGGCCTAACAACATAGTTGGGACAGGAAATTGAGATGGGATCAACTAATGTGCATGGCAAAATAGTCGCCAGGTTCCTAATTTTGCCACCTATTGTCAAGTCTGAGTGATTTTCAAAGTAAGTTGCCAAATAAGGGACCTGGCGACTTATGGAGTCACGGACCAATCCTAGTTGGGGCATAGCAAAATTAAGCTGGACATTTTACATGAACCTGAGTGACAGAAGTGTATTTTGAAATGTTTAAACACAGGCACATAACCTAACTTCAATGTTATTTCAAGAAGACGTTAACGCAAGAGATGCTGAAGGTAGCCAGTGTTACACTTTGGCAGATTGCCAGGCGTTCAATATGCAAACGATTGCTACACAAATCAACACCAGCAAAGCAGAATGGATGTGCCTGTACAATTGGGTGTTTTCGACAAAAATCAACAAGTTCCCAAAGAACATCTGGTGAGTGTTATTCCAACTAAACAAGGAAAAAACTAAGAAAGTGTACTAGGTACCCTTGTCACTTGCAATTAACATGCCAAAGATTGTGATTTAAGCTCAATGTTATTAATTTGATGTCGGAAAATCCAGCGGGTAAATGCATAAAATCTTAAAACTATTTTATGTCAGAATGAGAACCTGACAATTTACTTGGTTGAAATGTTATTTTTATAAGATTGTGGTACACTGGCTTGCTCAGACACAAACGTAATAACCCCTTTACTCAGTGATAAATAGATTGAATACAAGTCTATTGTACTAGAAGTAAAGTTATATTTCTAATTACAAGTTTTTGCCCTTATCCAACGTATGTATTATAAAACCAAAAACTTGTAATTAAAATTAAACCTCTCCTCCACGCAAAGTACATCGGGAAAAAAGTAAAGTTATACATATTTAGCTCCAACTTTTCCAGTGCTTGTTTCTTGTTACAGCAACAACGTACTTCGCTGAGCCCATAGCATCGGAAAACATCACCTTTACAGAACATTTGAGCAGTAAGACCAGCAGGGTCAAGCATGAGGAACGGGCAGGGCCGTTAGCAGCATATGATTGCCTGATACGACAGGGAGAGCTGGCAGAAGATGCCTATCAGAGAACCATCGTCAAGAAGCTCCAAGAGTTGTTTGACAAGATCGCAGGGTATCGACCGGCAGAGCCCGGCTTCTTTCAGAAGGTGTGGAATTTTATAGAAATGTCTAAAGCAATGAGGCATGGGTAGGATTAACAGGTTAGTTTGGGTTTGCTAGGAATTTTTCTGCATCTTTTAAAATCTCTTTTCAAGAAATCAATGGCACCTGCTTTCTATTTTCCATAGCAAGGGACGTCTCCCCTTCTACCTGTGGTAGTAGGCATGGATCTAAGAGGTTTACGGTCGCACCATGCAAGGATATCTCTTGTGAGTGTGTGGCTCTGAAAAAAACTGATGGGTACTCAATGTTTCAGACAGGATGCTCAGCATTTCTGAGAAATTCGTCTATCCGCCTTGGTTGTCCTCCAAAATCTTCCACTACCTCCTGGTGAAGGATGATGTCTTTGAAGGCTGAGCAAGAGTTATAATTAGCCAACACATCGTAATACCATGTCAAACTATGATGTCAAAATGAATGAGTTCTCTGTTTTCAGTGTTACAGCTGGTTCATAACTTGACGTGAAGGCAAACACAAATGCACATTTGTGATATCAGATCAACTGTTAGTGATGCCAATTTGGAAAACCTTTACTGCAAATCTTTTGTGACGTCAAATTCGCTTCACGATCACATTTCCCTGTAGTATGAACTGGCCTTTGGGTTTTCCCAATCGTTATATTACAGACTGTTCATACCTGCAATTGATCTGTTGCAAACTATTGCTTAAAAAATAGCACAACATTTCATCTTAAGCGTTAGTCTTATTACCAGCTGTTATAAAAACTTCATCTTTATTTGGTCTGATTTGACCCCAAGATGCTTGGGTCGGCTCCAGGTGCTGGGCCGAAGGGTTTGTACCTCTATGGCAGCGTTGGATCAGGCAAGACAATGCTGATGGATCTGTTCTACCAGGATGTAAACGTCCATCGCAAGCAGAGGGCGCACTTCAATTCCTTCATGCTGGATGTCCATGCTAGTGAGTTCATTGCACAAGCCTGGAATGGTTCATACAAGCCCACTCTGGATTAGTATTCTTACTCCAAACCCTTTCAGAAATGCTCATTCAAAATGGACCAATCCATTCCAAGGGAGGGGTTCATTTAGGATTGTAATATCTGTCTGTTCATACCCAGCTGAGCTTATAAACTGCCTGCCCTCCAGGAAAGTTTTTGAAACTGACTGCACCCGCCACCCCCAATGCCACATGAGAGCAGATTTCCAGCTTTGGTCACCAGTGTGAAAGATTTATGCAAAAAATTGAATGTGTGTAGTTTTTAAACAAGTAAAAATTGCTTGGTCAAACTTCTTGTCTGTCCTTCAGACAGGCTACATTAAGCGCTGCCCTCAAATTCCCTCTACTTTTTAAAGTCATTAAATTTCACAGAAATTCCCCCAAAGTTGGGACTTTCAACTATATGAATATTCCCCTCCCCCACAAAACCAGCCTGCTATTCACGTTTGGCAGTCATTAACCCTAACAGTCCCAAATCCTCCAATCTCAATACAATTTTACATACACCCTAGGGGGTTAGGGTTAATACTAGAGTGATTACCAAATGATTGTATTTCTTCAGGAATTCATGAAGTTAAGAAACGAATTCCCCGGGATCGCACAAGTAACAAGCCGCAACCTTTCGACCCCATAGCACCAGTAGCCAAGGACATTAGCCAGGAAACATGGCTCTTGTGTTTTGATGAATTTCAGGTGAGTCAACTTACCACAGTCTTGGAAAACAACTTCAAACAACGTTTACTTTTGTTGTCACAAATACCAGAGACTGTGTACTAAAAGCTAGGATTCTTGACAACAACCTTTTGGGATTCAAATCTTACTAAAGTTTTTCTACACAAGTAGAAAGTGATTTCCCTAAGAAAATTTCTTCAAATATGCATTCTCTTGTCTCATTTACATGATACCTTTATCAAGACTAACATCACATTTGAGAAGACTGCATTCGCCTCACCTCACTGAACCTACAACTTAAGTTATATAGAAATAAAGATGAAAAATGATACAGCAATCCCACATCAACCTGATTTCTCAGTTGGAATGGAACACTCCAAATGGACAAACCTTTCTTTATAATGTGTTAAAAATTCTGCCCATCTTTCATTGTGCAGGTTACTGACATAGCGGATGCTATGATACTTAAGAGGCTCTTCACAGAGTTATTCCAAAATGGCGTTGTCGTGGTTGCGACGTCCAACCGACAACCAGATGACTTGTACAAGAATGGACTTCAGCGGAGTAACTTTGTTCCATTCATCCAAGTATTAAAGGTAATTAGAATTACTGCTCAAGTTGGTACTTGAATTGAAACAAAGCCACAAAGTTTAATAATTCAATTCAGATACTGCTGAATAAATTTGATTTGATATTTTATATTTCTTGTGCCTGTTTTAGGATCATTGTAATGTGCTGCAACTAGACTCAGGAATCGATTACCGAAAATTGGGTAAATATAAGGCTTCAGAAGGATTTTGGTCTTTGATTTTTGTTTTTTGGTGTAGACTAGTACTCGTTATTTCTCAGGCATTTGGTTTGGATCATTATTTGATTATTTGATTTAAACATCCACAGATCCGGTAAATTGAATTAGATTGTTGACTTTAAATATATTCAGATTTCTTCTGTTTCCATATTGTCAAATGCTATAATGGGGATTTCCAGATCTTGCAGTGTGTTACAGCATTTGTATTCTTGTTACCATTGCTTTATGTTTATTCTCCAAACAGATGTCTCAGAAAGGGGGCAGGTGTACTTTGTAAGCAACAGGTGCAACGCTGATGCAGAGTTGGAGAGGCTATTCAAGACCATGGCCAGGCAAGAAGATGCAGGTAGGAGGACATTCAACAGAAATGCTAGTCATGAAGTCAGTGTAATTATGCACTTCATGGATGCTTGATAAATGTTGGGTTTGGAGTCTTTGGAAGTTGGTGGTGGCCAATCATAGTGCGTTGCGCTAGGCACTGTAACAACGTGAATGTCTATTCAAAATCAGATGCATTTTTGTCCGGCTTGGAAAAGATTTAAAGATGCCAATTCAGTGCATGTTTTCTTGTAGTTAAGCCTGGTACCTATTCCTTTGCGCTGATGGAAACAGACAAGTTTGTGTAAAGTGGCTTGCCTGAAGACACAACGTTGGATGATCAGCTGGATTTGATCTGCAATCCCTCATTGGTTGGATTTGATCCATAATCCGTCTAACCATGAGTCACGGAGCCTAACCATGAAACCATTCCTATGCGCACCCCCAAAATGCTGACATCAGAAACATTCACAAGGATAAGTCTCGCTTTCCTTTTGCCAGATTGAGTGCTACTGTGCCTCCTGACTTGATGGAATCTCACCAACTTTACTCTACCCATTTTAACTTTCTTCAACAGTTATACAGAGTAGAACAATTCACTTGATGGGCAGAGAGTTAAAAGTACCGGTAGCCTGTGGCAGGATTGCTGTTTTCACATTTACTGAGCTCTGCGACAGGGTGAGTGTCATCACCATACAGCGCCCTCTTGCGTTCACATCCATGCTGTTTATGAGTTCCATTGCCTTCTGTATGTTTTTTCCTTTATTGTCACCATGCAGCGCCTTCATACTTTCATAATTATGTATTTTCTTTACAAGTTCACAATCTTTTCTTCCTTTGATTCTTTCTTTCTGCGCAGTGCCCTCTTGCATTTTGTGCCCTCTTATGTTCTTGTGCATTTCAAATAAAAGTTTCCTTTTCTTCTACACATCTCATTTCTTGTTTTTTTTTCAGCATGCAGCGCCCTCTTCTGCTCATATGCCCTTTACACTCTGAGTAATCTTCTGTACAATTTTTCTCTTTCTTACTGTGTCAAGCCATTAGGTGCTGGTGACTACCTCGCGTTAGGCAGGGAATTTGACATCATCTTTATACGTGATATTCCCCAGATGTCGCTGAGGATGAAATCAGCAGCCCGCCGTTTCATCACACTCATTGACAACTTCTACGATAACAAGGTAATTATTTGGCATCTTATGCTGATTAGATGTCCAATCTAAGTAACTAAGCCTCCCTGATTGGTCAATTTTAAGTTAACCACTGTGCATTAACATCTCTTTCCATTTGGGTTCTTGTAAACAGCTTTGAGCTCTAATTTCGTTGAGTTTTTTTAATTCTTCTTTCAAGGTGAGGTTAGTGTGCTCTGCAGAGACAGAACCAGAGGATCTGTTTGTCACAGGTCACATGACCCAGCATGACCTAGATGACCGCAGGATGCTCATGGATGACCTTAACATTAAGATGGTGAGATTAGAAGAGGACATTTGTTACAAATTACAGATTACTCACACCCAGTGTCCTTTTGATTGAGTTTTGTAAGAAACTTGTTCTTATTTTCATGTATTCAGAAGATGTATTTCATTTGCAGCAATTCTTTATTGATAGTATACATAGTTTTCACCTTCAATTACAAGGTGTAGGTTAACTACTTCTTTTTTCAAGCAACTGTGAAAGCACCTGCTGCAAAATCATGCTGATTTTGATTTTGTCGTCTTGAAGCTTTCAAAAGAGGGCGCCCTCTGAACACCACTAATATTATTAAATTAACAACTGAATATAAAACACAACAAACGAGGGCGTCCTTCATGTTTACCAGACATGATTGTTTCCCATCACAGGATGCTAGCAGCATATCGGCCAGCATCTTCACAGGTGAAGAGGAGCTATTTGCCTTTGAGAGGACCATCTCAAGACTGACAGAGATGCAGACGGAGGAGTATTGGACTAGCACCAGAGAGAGTAGGAAGACGGAGGAGGTGAAACCGGAGGACTTATGATGATAACCTAGGACCCCTCAAACACACTGATTTAATTGTATTTCTTTGCCTCCTTAACCTGCTTTTTAAACTGCAATTGCAAAACTGCAATACTCAAAAAGGAATTCAGAACCAATTTTTGGGAGAATGGGGGATTTTTTTGTGGGGGGGCAGGGGTTGAGCAAAATATTTAAGCTCTTTTTGGTGAGTTCCATTTACACCGTTGTATTTATGTACCCCAAAAGTGTGAAAAATTATATTTAAGTTGGAGGATTCAGGACTGTTTTTCAATATTTGTATCTACACAGTTTTTAACATGAAATCTTAACATAATTGCTTTTCTTCCGGGAACCTTTAAACGGCATTTACATGTATACAGTTGTGAGAAGGTAAAAAGCAAAAATTGAAAACCACTGTTTATTTATTGCAGAGAAAATAAAATAACATTTTATGAGGTTTATGGTTCTTTTATGTCACTTGTCAAGTCCATCAAGATTTTCTGTTCTTCACTCATCAAACACCACAACTCAATCTAGACATTATTCTGGCACTCAAATTGTGTATTCGCCAAGACACCTCTAAAACCTTTATTCATAAAGTCGTCCTATCTAAGGCACTGTCCAAAGTCTTTTTTTTTTCTGGTTTGTAATGATTCGTGTCCTGAATTCATTTGTCGTAAAAATGTTAACAAAATCAATATTTACACTATTATTGACAGAAATGTACATCACTTTTTGTCTTCACAAAGTCGCTTGTGCTTAAAACTATGCCCGTGAAATTGTCACTACAAGTGCAATAGTTTTCATTACCTCTTCTGGTTTGCTTTAATCCATAGGCATCGCTTCGATGGAAATTTTTTTTTTTAAGATCGGCAAATTAAAGCTACTACTAGGTCTTTTTCCCTATTCCATATTGAATTTTAAATTTTCATTTATTTAAATCTATTTTCAAAACCATTTTTCCCCTCTTAATCATAAAACGAGGCCTTCTTGTTTACATATTGTAGGGCGACCTCTGTTGACTGATAATGAGCCATTAAGACCTCAGTTTTTCTTTTCAGTTGCTCCGTGTAGTAACATAGGCACATGATAATTGATACTGTTCTGTGGAAAGACAAAAATTTAAATGAAACTCAATTCTGTTTGAGAAACTTTTACGGGTACATTATTACGAGCCCGGGTTTGCGCTCATAGTCGTAAAAATAGATTTTTCTTTCTGATAAGAAGGCGTCCACTCATTTCGGTAATTCTTTAATAAAACATTAAATTTGCATAATCTTTGGAATGATAATTCAAGGCACTAACATTGGCGTTGTAAACTTAAAAGAGGAACGTCGGGGATCAGGTTCAGAATTCATGGGCCTTGTAGAGATCAGAAAGCAATCGCTTCATGGGCATGCTACCGATAGTCTGACGAAAGAACAGCGTCTCCAACGTGCTTGGGCGCACGGCGCGTAAGGTTGGCAACAAGAGCAAGAGTTTGCCAAACCGGAAGGGCTGGGTCGGATGACGAAGGGTGATGTACTTGCTGAGAGTCAGTTGAGATTGGTCCTGAAGGCTAGCTACTGCGGCTGTCTCTTCGACACTAGAAATGTCTATAAAAGAAAGCCACAAGAAAGGAAACTTGAGAACCTAATACCACTGAGATAGTTCCGCTCTGTTATTGGCATAGAGATCATGAGTAGATCGTAAGTAAGCAAAAATAGCGCCCTCTGCATTTTGGGAGGCACATTATCATGTTTTATCATGGCTGCTGTCAGTCAAGACATTGGCACAGCTGTGTTTTAAAAGTAAAAGCGCGTTTCTTGAATTGCTGGAATGTGGTTCATTGTTACATTCTTTTGTTCTGCATTGCCTGCTGCGTGCTGAAGGTTCTTGGTGCTCGGAGGCATATTGCCATGGGCATTTGTCCACTTGCTCTTGAGGTGACAACACACTGTTAACTGGTGTTAGTTACCACCAGACCACCATTTTGTTCGAGTTTGGTGGTTTTATTTTTCGTCACACACCGTGGACTTATTGGGTTGTGTTGTAGTAAGACTGTTGGCCAGGCCCGGAGGCGGTGAGTACATATGTAATATATTTTGGTAATCTATTTGCTGACCTTCTGTCGCATTTTATTTAGTACCTGGAGTTTACTATTCCAATATGGCGATAGCTGTTCCTTTTGCTTACAGTATTGTATTACTTGGACTTGTGACGTCTTAGGGATTTGCGGGTAAATATGTGTGTTGAACGTAGGTTGCTGTCTTCAGAAACGTGCACTAAGCAGGAGAATTCTGAATCCTTTGTTAAATAAAGTCTTGTCGACTTTCAACTACCGTGTCGATTTTCTGTACATAAGTTGCGAACAATTTCTGCACTGAAACGGGAGCAAATACTCAATACTGGGATACTAAATATTCATGAGCACAGTGACCTCTTACCTGTCTTGAAGACGACGATTCCTTTGAGGCATGCGTACTCCGTAGCATCTACCTCCAATTGTCGCAATTTCACAATGATTTCTTCCAGAACTCTCAGCTCGCTTGATATCGCGGCGAGTTTCTCCGCTGGTGTATTCTCAGGCTGCATACCTAAAGAAGTGTCATTTCTGAAAGCTTAAACCCATGTCTAATATTAACTTTTGACAAAACCTGTATATATATCTCGGCATTGCAAATACTCGAATCTTGCATTTGACAAAACACCGTGAATTTCTCTTCTCCATATCTACTAATGAAAAACTGACAATTTAGCAATTTTGACTTCACCCACCTGTAGCGTTAAGGAGAGCTGCAGCATCCATGGTCATGTGCCATTGCGCTGCTCCTAGTATGAACAATTCTCTCCATCCCTCCTCTAAAAGAAGCAACTGAAGACGAAGAGCAAACAGACAATTACGGACTGCAGGTCAAGACAAGACCTACAAATGACAGGCTATTGAAGACTTCCTTGCTAAGCCCTTTTTGTACCAAAACCTTTACTCCTTTGTCCTTTGTTTTTCTTTTCTGACGTTTGGTAGCAAAGTGTTATGGCAAAACGCGCAAAAATAGGGATAACATTTACAACTCAAAAGCTAAAGAGTGGGAAAATCACATAAAGTATGCTTGTCACAGGAAAGCTGTTTCTATATTTCTCCTTTTCCAAATAAAGAAAGATCGCTTGTGATAGTTTTGTTTTGTTTTGATTTTTTGGGGGGAAGGAGAAGACATCTTTGTTTGGACACGGATAAGCGTCGTGTGAAACGATCTTCAGAATATATGCTATGTAACCTGATGAACTTTTACACTCGTAATTAAAATTGAGCCTACGTGAAATTAATGTCCGCAGTGTCTGCACCTTACGTGGATAATTGCATCTATGGCACGTAACGGTTTATGAAGTATCTACATTGTTTACTTAAATTGAACACATGATTTCGTGGAGCCGAGTTATAGGGGGAAGCTAATAGGATGTTCTTTGAATTATTTGTGTGGAATCTTTTTCAAGAGCTTCTCATGGTTCGAATATCATCGATTGTCTTGACTTCTATTCTCACCTGATCTTGCAGCGGCAGCGATACGAAAGCTGGCACATTCTTGGCCCATTTGACACTCATAAAAAGCAGTCTGGCCGCCGTCTCGCACACCGTCTCCACACTACTGTGTACCGGGTGAATATAGTCCCGAGGATAGTGCTAAAATTAGAGTAAAATATACGATCGAATTTTGGTTCATTTCGAAATTAAGAATTTTTATTTTATTTAATGAATCATACCACAAAGAATTTTAGAAGAATTTTCACCAAATTCGATTAAAAAACCCACTTTTGTTTGGACCCATACAATTCGTAAAAGATATATAAATTTTTTTAACTTTTCCTTTCCATCATAAGAAAGTGAAATTAGGCCTTAGATATAAAGAAGAAGTATTGTGGCAAGAAATTGGAAGATTGTATTACTTTAATGTAATCGTAACTTCTGCAAGTTACAGGCTCTACTAAGGGCATTTTGTTACCTTAGGTGTTGGGTAGCAAGGGAATGGGCCAGCCGGTAAGGCGTACTCCGATGTAGTGACTATCAGTGGCCCGTACGTCTCCGTCCTGCTTAGCGGGCTAATCACGGTGGTAGCGTGGGGAGGATAGGCAGCTACCAACGGGCTGGCTACATCAGTAGCGGCCGCAGCCGACTCCTTCAGGTACAATGCCATCTGTTTGCGGATGGTGGAGTTACGAGGGCCTCTCTCGTGCTGCACAGCTGCAAAGAACAGAGAAAGTGGTGTCATAAAGATAAAGTTCAACCACATGAATAAGAATTACAATCATAGTAGTATCTATTTTATGCTCTGCGTACACATGGCACGGTGTTGTAGTTTCAACATGACTTGGATATTGCTAGTTTCCTTTAGATACCGACGCGTGTTATAGTGCCTTTAAATAACCAGCATGTATGGTTTTACAAACTGTGATGGCTTTTACTGAGAAATGTGTGTGATTTACCTATGAAATATTTAATGAATGCGTGGGTTTTTTGGTGCAGTAGACTTTGTACACATTTTGTGGATGGCTCTGTAAAGCGCAAAAACCAAGAGGATGCGACAGGCTAGATGAATTGTTACAGTGATCAAGCTAATTCATCAAGTCAGCTGTAAATGGTCTTCTCTTATTCGACAGGCTAGATGAATTGTTACAGTGATCAAGCTAATTCATCTACTCAGCTGTAAAATGGTCTTCTCTTATTCTCGTCAACAAAATTTCAAGCCCCACTTTCCGCTAGGGGTAAAAATATCTCCTTATTAGGCGCAGAAGTAACTAGCTGCAGAAGTCACTTGTTAAGGTATGTCGGTCAGCTCAATAGGTCCCCGAACCCCAGGTCTGGTATGAGCCTGTGCGGGCAAGCCGGTGCCGAGAGAGTGACGAGTTACGGGTATTGTCCTGGGTGTCACGGCGGGGCTGTTTACGCAGCTGGCCCGTTTGGCCAACCCGTACTTAGCCCGCTCTTCCTTGACACGATGCCTGGAGACTCGGCCCACAAAAGATGGCAACATATTGAGCATTGCAGGGAATTCTTTTATCTGCTGTTTTGGAGCCAGTAAAGGAGCTGAAACAATCGACAAATTATTACCGTGTACATTTTCATTTTTCTCCACGTTGACGTCGAATAAGTTTTTCCCTTTTTTCTCTTAATTATACCTTCAGTCAAAAAAATCCTTGCTGTTTTAAAAGTTATTCATTTCAGTTTATCAGCTAAGTCCTAAATGACACCATACCCTCTATCACAGTTGATTCTGCTGGGCCAAGGAGAGGCAATCTGTAAATAGTGATCAAGTTGAGTGTCTCACTTGATTCATTTTGATATATTTAGAGAGAGAATTTTCTGTCCCTACCGTCCTTATTCATGTCGACCTCGATGCATTTCTTGAGTCGACATGCCCGACACTGGTTCCGATGAGTCTTGTCGATTGGGCAGGACCCGCCGCTGCGGTTCTTACAGGCGTATGTACGGTTCCGCCGAATGCTACGCTTGAAGAATCCACTGCAGCCGTCGCAGGCGTACACACCGTAGTGCTTGCCCGAACTCCGGTCGCCACAGACTTTGCAAGGAATATCCAAGATGCGACCTGGACGAAAGTACAATGAGAAGTGATAAAGAAGATGGATAGGAGATCTTTCAGACGCTGACATATCGTTTTCACGCTGGCATGTACAGCGTTGTTTCTAACTTTACCCTCATTTTTTAAAAATGATTGTACGATAGAAACATGAGGAAGAGGAGTCTTTATTTTTTCTAGAAAAGTCTCGTTTTGGGGTTTCAGCGTGCAAAAAGTTCACCATGTTCACCTCGTGACACTCGCATGCGATTTCAGGAATTTTTCCTTCCTAGAAAAAAATCATGATTTAAAAAACTAGTCTGGCAGATTTTCGCAGAGTCATCGAACAGATTGACTGAAAAATATTTTTCGACCTTATCTTGAGCAGAATTTCGTGAAGTGGCACTTCAGTCCTGCCCGGGGTGGCAAATCACCAAATCCACTTATTAAATCGCTACGATTATGATTTCATTTCGAGACCCAGGGCGGTATGCTACAAAAGGAAACATTCCTCAAAGATAAAGAAGTACGTTGTTGATGCCGAGGCACGAATAGGTCAATATAGTTATGTTACTGCAGTTCAAGATCACGTGTTATCGGGGGTTTTCTCCCCGTAAAGGTGAAAACAACCATTTTGACTCATTTGCAATCTCAATCGTATTCTTATTCCATTTACTGCAAAATAGCCATTTCAGTTTGAGTCATGCACTAACTTTCCACTTTATCTCTGTATTCGTTTGAAGCCTGCCCTTTCAACTTGGGCAGAAAAATCAAATGTTGACAGTTCTGTAGCTTTTTCAGTCCACTCTGTAGAGTGTGTGTTTATTTCAATCTTGTCAATGGTAAGTATGGAAATAGACGACAAATTCTGTATTTGTAGTGGGCTAATGGACGGGGTATTATAGTGGGTTCTAGTCACTTAAATAATCTGCAGGTGAAATGGCGACTTCAAAAGCCAACCTCACTACACGGAACAAATTCACCGACAATAAGAAAATCGGCTGCCACATTTTGGCCGATTGGTTATCGCCCTATTGCCGTATTTCATTTCAGAGTCACAGTCTCCCGGTGTTTGGTCTTAATTGGTCCCTTGTCATCCAAACTCACAACTCAGAGTGACTCTTCAGACCCGCTTTGCGTCTGTCGCCCCAACTCGAGGTCGGCCTCGTGGTCTGAAGAGGAGAAGAGACTGAGTCCCGCGGTAACCTTGCATCACCTGACCGGTGAGAGGTTAGGCCCGGCTGCAGGATTAGACCTAACCTATCACATACTTTGTGACCGATCACATATTCTGGCTCAAAGTCGCCAGTTTACCAATTAAATAGCAAAACCGTGTTGGAATTAGTCAGCCCATTTTGTAAACGCAAAACTTTCGTAAACCAATTGTAACTTTAGATGTAATACGTGCGCGTGCATGTTGTACGCGCGCGTGTTCCTTCAACCAATAGGATTGCTGCAAAGCGAAACGCGCATAGTTTGATAACTCATGCGACGCGAACGACATCAGAAATTGTCTCATGTCGCTGGATTAGAGCGAATTGTTACCAGATGCCGCGCTGTTGGGCAGTGCAGAAAAAAAGAGCACGGTCCATAATCACTAAAATTTAGGTAAGTATAGTCGCAAACAAAATGTCTAGAGTTGGCAAGTGTCTGCTTTGCCACGTCCCACAGTGGAGATATCTGAGTCTTTCGAAGGTACAGACTCGTCAGAATAACTCCGTCTATTATGTAGGATTGAACACCATCACACGACCTTCGATGTTAACAATCCATCTCCACACCACGGCAAAATGGCAGCCCACTCGAACGTTTTCTTCAGCGGTGTGGAGTGCCCCAACGGACCCCTCATTGTCCGGTCTTTGTCGAGGAGATGTTCAGCTCAATTGTTGCGAAAGTGTCTTACTAAAATGATCATCTCTTCTTAAAGTTTCATCCAGCTAATTGGGCGAGCCAATTGGTGAAGATAGCAAGAGAGCAAAGATGGTTTGGTATAACTCATTATTCAGCGGTATTGAATGACGGGTGGATTTTATAGAACTCTCATAGAAATTCAAATGAACCCATACAGACCCTATTTTGCTTGATTTAAGAACATCGAATCATTTTTTGTGTTTGTCAATTGTGTAAGTAATCCCACAGGTGTGTAGAAGGTTGGTTTGCGTGTCAACATTTTCACAAACAAATGTATAGGTCTTATTACTGATTAGCATAATGCATGGTGACGATCGTGATAGCTCAAAAAGAAATTAAACTGTTATCAACTACGCATGCTACAGCTTTAATTTGATAACATAACATCGTGTAGTTGTGCTTTCACAAACTTCGAAACAAAAAAGCCTACCTCTTTGTTGACGGTTCACATTAATTGATGCACTACTAAACTATCATGGCTTGATAAACGTTTATGGTCAAAAGTTACCAAGTTGGGACATTGACAAGAGAAATCATTACTACTTGACGCTCACTGTAATGCCACGTGAACACTGATATTCTCAATTAGTAATTAAAGAACGTTAAGGAGACAAATATCTGCATTCGCTCGAGGATATAATATTTTAGTCTTTCGGTTACTATTTTGAGAAGCGAACTTTTTTCTTTCAGAACTGAACGTGTGTAGGAATTACAGAAGTCTTTGTACAATCCTCTTCCCGTTATAACTCGAAACCGCAAACGAAGAATAGAGGAGACATGTCACACTGTGACTTGTCCAACTTCACCCTTGAAACTTCAGCTTATGGTGTAATTAGCAATCTAAGTTTGCAGTGAGTTAAACACCTTACGGGGAGAGATGGGCATTCAAGAATGAAAGGATTAGTGGTCTTATGGTAAACCTCACGGATGATAAGCAGAATGTTAAGGGCCGGAGCAAAAAGGCGATTTACCGTTGAGAATGCTTTCACTTTGTCAGCCCCTGCGCACTTAGCGGGAATTTCTACAATAAAGGCCACGCACGGTGGGCCGGGTCGTACCCGCTGCGGCTGGCCGGGATTTGAGCGCCTTTTGCCTCGGCCGGCAAGAGCTGAAATCCCCGCTCCTCCTTTGTTCCCCTGGTGGGTGGACACTCAGGGGATTTCTGCGCGGAGTTCAGTGTACGTGGTGGCATCCTAGCCGGACTTTTGTTTCTTTCATCCCCATACTACGTGTCAAGCGTTGACTTCATCTCACTGTTATTAATGACGGGTTTAGTTGTCTGAGACGAAAGCCGATTTCGGCATGGAATTCCCTTTTCTTTAGTTGCTTGTCGCTTCTTAATAGTCTCCGTGTTGTGGGGATAAAGGTCTCTTTCTATTCTTCAAGGAACACACGGCTCTTAACTTTCAGAATACATCTGCCGCTGCATCTTGAATCACCTTGTAGTTTTTTCTCTTTGCCATGGGTTCGGAATTTGACTTATATTTTCCCACATCATTTGATTTAAGGGTTACTTTTGTGTTCTTTTTTTCTTTATACATGTACATAATTAGAGCTTCAAAGTTTGTGCACCACTGAGGAATGAGCAGATCTTTACATTGCAAGAAAATTATATGTTATAGGGAACCGATTCGAGAATTGAGCTGATTGACTGTTCTGTTATGATGCCCTTTCCCTTCAAATGAGTCTTTCGAGCACTCATTGAGTTGCACAATGGGAACAGTTTCAAGGTAAATTGGTGAGTCATGATATTTCATAGCTCTGTTGGTAGCCTTGAAAGCTATAGTCAGGGTGGCCTTTTTGGAGTGGTAAACTGCTCATCCAGGGCATTTACCAAATTCAAAGGCTGCGAGAGAGACTAACCAAGTTGACGGCTTTGAGGGCACTTCTAGACAATCGAATCAAGAATGACTGACAGTTGGCTTCTGAGGTATTGCAGGAAGCCTTTCTTTTATCGAGTGTTCTCTTCTGAATGTCGACTTTAATTATGTGAAGTTTTCCTTCCTAAGAGCTCAAGTATTTTCTTTTTAATGTTGTTTTCAGAGTATCACACACGTGCGGATAAACAAAATTCAGGTGCGTAATCGTCCATACAAAGCCAGTCCTGTAGTGTTGTGCCGCCATTCAGAAGAAAAACACCACTAATGAGTGACATATCAACCCCTTCCCTGCCAATCCAACAAGACTTCCCTTTTCTTCGCAGAAAGTCCAGAAGTATTGAAAATCAAGCATCAAATTAATATCTGCACTTCTGTTAATTTGAAATCAGCCAATACCGATCGAGTGAAAAACACTACTAGGGTATATTCAACCCTGCAGCTAGACTTGTTGCAGGTGTCGCCTTCCATTAACGGGTTGATCACTTAAGTCATAACATTGGAGGCACGCAAAGCCCTCTCCATCAGAGCGCTGTAATTCCTTGACTAATGGCTGACACGTCGCTCATTGTCGGAATTGTCAGCGACTGGAATTAACTAAAGCATCCGTGAATTAACTCCTTGTGCTTAAAGAGATTTCGGTTCTTTTTTTTCCTGCTGGGGGAAAGGAAGAGAATGCGCTGGGGTAGCCTCGCCTCGGGCTGCTATATAGGAGTCTCTTTGAAACTAAGGAGCTTCTCCCTGGATTGGGGGAGGAGCGGGGACGACACGACACATATCTTAATAGGGCTAGGTGATGAGATGGTGTTACATTTTGAGTGTCAGTGAGTTTGCGCGTCTGTTTAGAATTTCAGCAATATACTCCTGTGTATAGAATGGAATAACGAAAAGGGAATCTTATGGAGTAATAAACGCAATACATTTCTCAGCGTATTTCCAGTGGCATTCAGAGATAATACGTTGTCAATTAGAACATTTCAAGCCGGTTTACGCTGACGGGACACAAACTCCTTCAAAAATCTTTGAAAAGTCTTTTAAAGCAATCCAACTTGATAATGCAGGCTTTTGCAAACCTGCAATAGCAGGAGGTGGGAACAACGGAAATCTTGATAAGCATGTTTTAAACTATATTCCAACAAATTTCAGGTTGCCTCAAAATTGTCGGACTAACTTAAAAAGATTATAAAGGGTTGCCGCTCACGGGCTATGTGTGCTTCAGTCATCAAACTTGAAGAAATCAGAGAGGAACTTAACAGGCTCTGATTTGTGATAGCTTAACACAAATCACAATGATTGATTCTGATTTGTCGAAAGATAGTAGCCCTGATGCATTTAAAATTTAATAGTCTCGAAACAGACATGAGACGTTAATTTTTGCTTATAATACAAATGGAAAGTAGTTACTGCGAAAACTACTCGTTTGCAACTGCGAAATGGCTTTTTAGCGCAATCGTTCGTACTTTTGGAGCATTTTGGTCCAATTTTTAAAACATATTTCCTTCTTTCTTTCCAAAGGATCGTTTCGCTCGGGATACTTTCTTCTACTTGATATGACTACGCACTTTGGCTTTTTCGGCTTCACTGTTCGTAGACGTCAATGTAAAACAGCGATTAAGTGACGCAAGTTGATGAGCCAACTTAGAAGGTAAGTTGTAATTATTAACAGTAACGTTGAGTTGTCTTGTTTTTTATGTTTCAATTGTCATTTCAACTACCTATTATGCTGTCAAGTGACTTTCGATGCATGTAGAGCTAAAGTCTGCAGGGAATATTTGGTGAAGTCTTCATTTTAGTTAAAACAGTGACTATTACTATTCAATTGTTAAAACTTTGACATGGCATTATGCTTACCACAAATAAACGTCAAACGGAATTTACATTCGGTTGGAAAGAATTACAGCGCAAGTCGGAAATCCGAAAGTGTGTAAGATAACGCAAACAAACCACCGCAAAAATTGAAGCACGTTCCGCGCACAGTGCACGTTTGGGGCAAATCGTGTAACAGTGAACGGCTAGGGAGCCACTGGTCTTACGTTCAGCGTGGGATCGCTTCTGGTCTTACGCACGGCTTTTGGCGTTCCACGCTGTTAGACCGCAAGCAACCTACTGCGTTCATCGAGTATCTCTGTCGCTTAGGTATCGTATCATTAAGTTCGTTTGGACATCGGCTAGTTTAGACATAAAGTGAAATGCGTTCACTGTCGTACTAAAATGCCTAACGGAGGTAACTAATTAAATCTTGCGCATGAGGTGAACCCGTGCCGTGGTCACTAATAGCAACAGTTTAAAACTAGAAAAACTTTTTGCACAAATGGAGACCCGAAGGGTAAACTGTTGTCAGGAAATGTAGTAGCCACATTTTAACCAGTTTTATCAAATTGGGTTAATAAACTGAAGACTTACTTGATGTAGAGGTGACTTTGGCATTCATCGCTCGCTGAGCCACGTTAACTATGTCAATGGCCCGACTTGTATGAGAACCAGGCAGAATCTGAGTTGAGCGATCCGTACAAACTGCCATCCCGACGGTCTGTCAATTCACTGTGTCCTGCTCACCGACAAACTAATGCGAACAATAAAAAAATGTTGCCGACGAGAGAATGCTGCTGCAACAACAGGCGAATGACTGCACTGACCCTCGATCTAATCCAAGTTGTGCCTGTTTGGATTCACTCACTGACTTTATTCACCCGTGCGGGGCCCACTCCATGCAGTCACGTGGGTGACTGCGAGACCAAGTTAATGCCAATAATACCCTCATCCAGCCCCCTTCATTAACATAACAAAGGAACAATTCATAATTCCATTTCCAGGCGACTTTGTCATCAACTGGCTTTCAAACAAGGAAACTCGGAAAAGTGATTGGACAGTGGCACGTATTTATGTATATTTATGACAGCTGAGTTATGGCTTGAAAGAGTTAGATCGTTGACTACAATGGTAAGAATTAACGATTGGGCTTTGGGCCTCGGCCAGCCGTACAGGCTGAGCCCTCGACCGCTCCCTTAAGCCCCAGGCAGGGTCGCCATCACCGGTCCATGCCCCCTTAGACGCTGATAGTGACAACAGACCAATTTCCTGCCCCAAATATGATACTGTTATACTGTGTAATTTACTCCTTTGTTCGGTGATTATAATGTACAGTGAGAGAAATAACACCACGCCGACGAACCCGTGTCACGGCCGGGAGCCTGGCCCGCTGAGGTGAGGGTGCATAGGCTTGTTGTCCACAGGGGCGCGGTGTGTAAGACGGTGTGTGACCCGCTCTGTTTCCCTAAATGCTCGAAACAGTTTCTTTCACATTTCATGGCATCACATCTAACAAAATATTCCATCGTGCGCGTAAGACATATCCAGCAAAGACGGATTTGAACGAGAGTGCTAGAGTCTCCAAAAGACTTTTTTTAAACAGATGGTAAATTCTTTCTCCCTGAATTCAATAAGAAATTGACCCATTTATATCCTAGGCGTCTTTCAATGTTTGATTTATGCATACGCCTACTCGTGCATTTTATGCCTTTAGAACTGACACTTTTCCCAGACCTGATTTTAAAAGATTAAAAAGGACCGTTTCAAATATTTCACATGTATGTTTAAATTGACAAAAGTGTTGTTTCGAAATCCTTCAATGTCGAACAGTTTCGGAATCAGCACATGCACTGGTACTACTTTGTTTAAAATGCAACCAACTGTCCTGACTTCAGTTTCAATTCTTAGCTGAAAAACCACCTTACTTGAAGAGATGTATCAAAGGTTTTCATACTGTTGTTCTGCGAGTGAAGAAGACGAGACACAACATTTACGGGATTTTCTTGACGACACATTATCGTGGGAATGATTTATCTCTTTAATAAGTGCGTCACAGGACTCCACAAAATGCGCTCATCGGCAATTGCCTAACTATTACTGACAAGAATTCAGGATTAGCAGGATCTAAAACCAGTTCTATATGGTTATTTGGGGGGTCTAGTTCATCGTTTAATGCCCCTCCTTGCCACAGCCCCGCCCTTAATCGCTTCTCTCCAGGAGACCAGAATTAGGGAACACCATCGTGTCTAATACCTGCAATTCACAATAGTGCGCCTCCGAGCGTTTGCAATGCGTTGGCCAATCACAAAGCGCGGAATCTGTCGACTATTTCCAAACGCGCATTGGGTCGACAGATTTCGCGCATTATGATTGGTTAGTGCGTTGCAAACTCTTGGAGGCGCACTATTGTGAAACGCCTGTATTCCGATGCGTGCTTAAATTATGACGCCAATTAGCACATAAACGGGGGTGTCATGGAAAGAAAAATAAACTAGTGTTAATAAAAGGAGGTTATTAACGTGATGACTGGTCGGGTGATTGTCGACGGAGATTGAAAGTCAATTGGTACTGTCACATAGCGAAAGAGGGCAGACAAAAGTGGCTGTTTTGTGGCGTGAAGACGTCGAGGGGGCAATCATTGGGGTGACACGGCGGTAAATTTGGATTGTCGTCCTGAGAAAATTGGCCGGCGCCCGTAGGCGGTCTGCTTTGTCACACGGTGATTTCTCGCCGGTTGGCCGTCAAGTGTCGCGCACGTAGAGAAATGATAATTTGAGACGCACATAACACTGACTTGTTAATTGTAGAGTCATGGGTGTGATTGGGGTCAAAAGGTAAAGGACTGAAGGAGTGAGATGACATGTTTAAAGAATGGAAACTGTTGCACGATGGAAGACAGAATCCTCACGAGATGTTCCAATGCATCATTGACATTGCATGTGATCCTTAATTTATAGTGTTTTCATTCATTATGCGAATTTCCGTCACTGCTCACCGTGTTCAATTTCTGTGCCTGAAAAAATTCCTACCTTTTTCCTGTTGTCACAAGATTTCAACCCATATAAAAGCTACCGCGCACGTTTATCATGCACGACTCTGACCAAATCCGTAAAGAGTTTACTAACTGTTCAGCTGTGGTCCTGGGCCCACAACCGGTCAATTCTCATCTAATAGTGCAAAGCAATTTTCACGTGGACCAAAAGTAAGCAGAACGCGCACTCGCTCGGGTTTATCCCAAGCTCTCTCAGAATGTCCGGTGCACCGTTAGTCGGTGTGCTTTCTGGGAAGCGACTATCATTTTGTTTCGACAACCTGTGAAGTCACGCCTGGGACAAAGGAGACAAACACCTGGCCAAATCTCCCTCCCTTTGTCTCGGACACCCGCCAACCCCCTGGGGTGGGGGAGCGGGTGGCATGGCAACATAAAGATCTCTCTCCTTCTTAACTCGCTCACTTATGATGTTTGCTGGGCCCTTGATCTGTGTGCTGACGAGCGGGTGATACGTTGCACTATAGGAGTTCAACCCGGTCTGTTAGTTCTTATTGTCTGGTTGTTTGTGGCGATACTAGTTTGGTATAGCTGGGATCTTTTCCTACCTCCATGCATGGTATGATCAAGCAAAGAGAGGATTCGTTCTTGTAAAGCAAGATTTCAAAATGATATCAAAACAGACGAACAATTTGTTATGCTTCAGTATACTGACGATAATAATTATATATAGAAATTAAAAAGTGTAGACCTCTTTGATTATGGTAACTACATATAAGTATATTTCATGCGATGTTTTTGAAGGGACTGGTCAGTTTCTTCATTATAATGTTTGTTTTCTCTCACGATCAATACCGGTAGTCCAATAACTATGTTAAACTGTTCATTTTGTCCTGTCAGAGTACCGGTAGGCCTATACGATTTTTTTAACCACATGCCCATTTGTTGTTTTTGTTTACCCACATCTTGTAGTTTCCTTTGAAAATAAAGCTGGCTTTAAAGAACACGCGAAAATCATTTTTTGTGCTTGTATTACGAAGTTTTCTATTGTCGCGTAACACTAGTAGCGCGTAACGCCAGAAGGAAAAACTGGCTGGCAGCCAAACTTGAAGCGCGTAAATCCGGTAGCAAAAACCAAGGGTATTTCACGCGCGTAATACGCAGGAACAAATTAACTCGGGTCAAAAATTAAACTTCGGAACTGCAGTATACACATGTGAGACTAGTTTGGCAGGAAAATGGGAGGAAAGACATTCGGAGTAAAGGTTTTAACGACACGGGTTTGGATCCCATCCGAGCCTCCGAGATTTATCGGTTAAAAACGACTGATTGTTCACATAATTTCGTGTTCTTCCAAGTTGCAACATTCTAACTAGGAAGGTCAGCATATTCCCTGCTTTTGTGATACTGTTTGCAAAGCCACATTGGGTTCGTGTCCTTTTAACCGTGTCTACGCGATGCTATCTTCAGTGACGGCTAATCGCCCAATTACCACGGCTAATGAGCAGTCATCAATATACTCCATCAGTAACAGTGTCCGACACAAAACGCCAAACTGAAAATCTTGTCGTTGAGAAAGTTTTAAGGAGCTGAAATGCTGACGTACAATTACCAAAAAGGATAAACATAGCCTTAGGATAGTACTATGGATGAAGCCTTACACAGAACTATAATAGTAGTGTATAGAAGGCAAGGGTGATTTGTTGAGAATTTTGTTTGAGATAGTGTTATTTACCAAAGTTTGTCAGACAAACTTTGAAGACTCTTCAAATAAGAGCTGATTTTTTGTAAAAATGACAAAAAAGAGACTCTTCAATTAAAGGGAATACTGCAATATTTTTCCTACTTTATGTAATCATATTCATGAAATTATTATTTTGCAAACATTAGCTCCGTGCCCACAGTCATCATCAAAATTGCCTTCATCGCCATTATTCATTATAACTTCTTTCCATTTCTCTTTCCACTCCATTGCATGATGACATCATTTTTATTTATAGCCCAACCTGCTCTTTCCATTCCTTCTAATCTGCAACCATAAATTCCCCAAGGAAACCATAGTTGTATCCCCCATTCCTTGCCAGGAAGTGTGCTCCCCTCCCTCACCAACCAACCAACCAACCAACCAAAGAAAGAAAGATGCGTTCCTTGTTTAAAGCCACTACTTAGTAGATTTGCACGCAGCCGTTTCAAAAGTCTTCTTTAAGCTATGTCAGCCTGTCTTAAGATCCTCTCCTGTCTCAGTGAGGTTGTAATCCATCCAGAAGGTCAGACTGGTCGATTGTCCCCCTCTCGTCTCCTGATCACAGGAACTTAATTATCAAGAGTAAATACCAGAAGACAGGGCTTAAATCCTGTCAAGGTGTGACCCTCCTTTGCGTGTATACGGCAACAATAACAAAACCGAGACACTGGAGTATTTTCAGTAGTTGAAGTGTCAGTGGCCGGGGATCTTGTGAGGGTTCCACGCCCACGGCTAATTGGATAGATAGTTCTTCTTCTTCTTCAACGGAGAGGTTGGAAGATGCTGTCTGACACGTTTTGGCTCGCAAATCAGAGTAAATCATCTGGGGCAGAAGAAGGCCCTTTTTTCCTCCGGAATGAAAGCGCAGTGTCCTCTGATCTCAATTTGCGGCAAAGTTTTGACAAGTGTTACCGTCTGGGCTGTGTTATAAAAGACGATTTGTCAAGCCTAGTTGAGCGACCCCGTTTTCCATTAATACTTACTGCATTAATAACACAAGGTGCTGTCGACAAAAGCCTGTTTCTCTGCCAGAAAAAGACGGCCTGGTACTTCTTCTTGTTAACCCGAAAGTTGTGGGAACTTTTTCACGTAAGTTTCTAATAAAATCAAAATATACTTA